AGGAGTGTACCCCTGCACCTGGCTCTTTTCTTTTTTAAATGCCATGATAGGAAGCAATGTACTATAGAGAAAGGAAATATTTCCCACCCAAAATATAGAAATCTGTACAGTTTTGTGACAATCAATGTACCTGAACGGTACAAATTTAAACCAGTTCATAATTTACCAAATGAAAGAAGTATATGGAATGCTTCATGAATTTGTATGCCATCCTTGCAAAGGGGCCACACTAATCTCTGTATTATTCCAATTTTAGTATGTGTGCTGCTGAAGCTAGCCCTCCTCAAGAGTTGTTAAATTAAATCATAAATATCTTTTTGGTTAAGACCCTATTATCATGTATTCAATTATTTGCAATTAAACCCATCTAATTGATTTAACAAGAGTGTCCAAAAGGTTTTATTACCGGCCTTAATTGATTTGTAATGACACTATGATTGATCAGCGATGTCTTCCATGAGCAAGGGATAAAGAAGTGGTGGCACAAATGTCAGGTGTTTGCCATCTGGTCCTAGGGCCAGGACAATACCTGGCACTTAGTAGGTCCTCAAGAAAGCTGGCTTGTCCCTGACACTCTCTACTCTGGCCAAGCTTTTCCCAGATCAGCTGTGTGGTTCTGTTGCCTTTGGCTTCCAGCTGCCATTGGTGGTGAGATCTCCTTTTCTTTTCTACAAGGGTGTGGGACCCTAATCCTTATCACTGGGGCCCCCAATATCAGAACCCCAAGTGGGTTTGCAACCCAACTTTCTGAAGGACAGACATCAGAAACTGGAATGTCAGCAGGTAGCTGGCAGACCTGCCTTCTATCTCTCCTCATGTCTGCACCAGTCTCTTTCTACAGAGCAGCTTTCTTCTCTTTCTGTCCCCTGAGAACAGATGACAGTCAGGCTCTCAGTGTAGACTTCTCCAGTCTCAATCTGGATCGCCTGGTGTGGCTTTGGTGTTCACCTCTGACCTGTCAGAACAGGACTTTATGGGTCAGTTGGGCAGAGAAACAGGTCTGGGCAGGTATTCTAGAACTGTTCTGTCCAATGTGGTTGCTATTATCTCTATGTCATTATTTGATTTTAATTTTTTCTAATTCCCATTTATTTTTGGCTCTTGAAACAGTACCACCTTTTTTTTTTTCTTTTTTCTTTTTTCCTTGTTCGTGCTAGGGAATTGAACTAGAGGCCCTTTATCAGTGAGCTGCATTCCCAGCCCTTTTCGTATCTTTTCTTTGAGACAGGGTTTCACTAAGTTGTCTAGGGTCTTGCTAAGTTACTGAGGGTGACCTTGAACTGTGATTCCCCTGCCTTAACCTCCCAAATTACTGGGATTACAGGTGTGTGCCATGGTGCCCAGTTCATCTTTAATTGCGTATGTGTGTGTGTGTGTGTGTGTGTGTGTGTGTGTGGTGCTGGGTATTGAACCCAGGGCCTTGTGTATGTGAGGCAAGCACTCTACCAACTGAGCTATAACCCCAGCCCTGCAGCTCATCTTTTTAACATGAAAAAAAAGCCTCAAGTTCAATACAAAATAGAAATCTGAAGTGTAGATTAGGATAAAATCAAGGATAGGGAGGATTGAATTTAATTTTAAGATAAAGTAAATAAAAATCTAAAAATCAGTTTTTTATATTAACAAGTACTCATTGGCTACACGTGGGTAGTCACTACTGTATGGTACAAAGTATAGGTTACACATTTCCATCCTAATAGAAGGTTCTGTTAGAGAATATTGATCTACAAGGTGACTACTGCATTTACTCAGTAGGAATTGGCCAGACCTTCAAGGGCTTTTGAGCAACCATATATATATTTTAATTTTTCTATTTTAGTTGTTGATGAACCTTTATTTTATTTATATTTTGTATGTGGTACTGAGAATTGAACCCAGTGCCTGACACATGCTAGGCAAGTGCTCTACCACTGAGCTACAACCCCAGCCCTGGGCAACTATACTGATTAGTGTACAAACTATGCTACTGTTAGAAAGAAACCCATAAACTTGTGCCGTAAATATAATAGAAGGTTGGGCTGTGGATACAGCTCGATAGAGTGCTTGTCTTGTATGCACAAGGCCCTGGGTGCAATCTTCAGCTCCCCCCCGCCCCCGCCCCACCCCGACACACACAAAGAGTATATGTACATATACATACGTGTGTGTGTGTGTGTGTGTGTGTGTATGAATGAAGGTTTTTGCTTTCTCAGTTGACAGTCCAAGTCTGCCATGGTACCTTGGAAACATCAGCATCTGCTTATTTCTATTTTGTTGGTTGGACTTCCTTAGAGTATGGCTCATGTCCTCATGGTCAAGATAGTGCCCCACCAATCTGGTTTCCAGGCAGTGAAAGGTGAAGTGGGGAAGGGAAGGGCACACCCCTTTTTATAGTGGGCAAAACCTGATAGCTACACACATCGTGTCTGTTCTCATCCTATTGGCCAGACTTGGCCACATGGGCACTTGTAGTTGTAAGGGAACCTGGTAAATGAAATCTTTTTCTTTTTTTAATAATAACTTTATTTTATTTATTTATATGTGGTGCTGAGGATTGAACCCAGGGCCTTACACTTGCAAGGCGAACGCTCTACCGCTGAGCCATAACCCCAGCCCCTAAATGAAGTCTTTAGCTGAGAAGCTGTTGCTATGTTGGAGGACAATGAGTGGCTTCTATTATAGGACAATCTTTTTTTTTTTTTTTGCACCAGGAATTGGTACTTAACCACTGAGCCACATCTCTAGCCCTTTTATTTATTTTTATTTTGAGACAGGGCCTCACTCTGTTGCTGAGGCTGGTTTTGAACTTGCAATATTCCTGCCTTAGCCTCCTGAGCTGCTGGGATTACAGGCATGTTCTACCACTCCGGACCATATTATAGGACCATCTTATTCCAACTTTTTCCCTCCTGCAGTACTGGGGATCAAACCCAGGGGCAGTCTACTACTGAACCACATCCCCATCCCTTTTTATTTTTTACTTTGGGAGAGGGTTTTGCTAAGTTGCTTAGGGCCTTGCCACATTGCTGAGGCTGGCCTCAAACTTGTGATCCTCTTGCCTTGGACTCCTGAGTTGCTGGATCAACACCTCCTTTCTGCAGAAGCAAAGGATGAAGAGGTAGGAGAAAGCAATAGGACAATGACAGAGCAGTCACATGTCCTGACGCCCACCTTAGGCTCGTCCCCTGTCTTGCTGCAGCTGCTGTCTATTTTCCTTGAGTAGTCATCCCAAAGGTCCAAATCCAGTCGGGCATGTTGGTGCACGCCTGTAATCTGAGTAACTTGAGGCAGGGAGGCTGAGGCAGGGAGTTAATTCACTGATGAGGTTAACATTAGTGAATTAACAAAACCCTGTTTCAAAATAAAAATAAAGAGTACTGGGGTGTTGCTCAGTCATAAAGTGCTGGGTTCAGTCTCCAGTACAAAGAAACAAACCATAGGTCTAAACCTTCCACTTTATGGTGAGAATTTAGTCACTTGGCCATACCTGCTGCAAAGGAGGCTGGGAAGTATAGTCTTTCTTACAGATGGCCAGGTGGCCATAGACCAGGGGGCAGGTAAGTGAATGGATATGAGCAGGCATTCAGTACTTCCTGTCTCACTCACTGCCCTGAGAAAGGCTTTAGCTTACAATAAGGTAGTGATATTGGATATAATTAAGCTTTTTTTTAGTACTGTAGAGTAAACCTAGGGTTTTGCAAGTGCTCTACTGCTGAGCTACATCCCCAGCCCCCCCCCCTTTTTTTTTGTATTTTATTTAGAGACAGGGTCCTACTGAGTTGCTTAGGGCCTTGCCATTGCCGAGGCTGGCTTTGAATTTGCAATCCTCCTGCCTCAGCCTCCTGAGTCGCTGGGATTATAGGAATGCACCACTACACCTGGCTTTTTTTTTTTATATACCTTTTTTTCCACCCTCTCTCCCTTCCTCCCTCCCTCCCTCCCTCCCTTCCTCCCTTCCTTCCTTCCTTCCTTCCTTTCATGCTGAGGATTGAACCCAGTGTCTCACACATGCTAGGCAAGTGCTCTGTCACTGAGCCACAACCCCAGTCTCCATCCCCTGCCTTTTTAAATTTTAATTTTTTTAGCTGGGCACAGTGGTGCATGCCTGTAATCTCAGCAGCTTGGGAGGCTAAGACATGAGGATCGTGAGTTCAAAGGCAGCCCCCCCAAAAGCGAGACACTAAGCAACTCAGTGAGACTCATCTCTAAAAAAAATACAAAATAGGCCTGGGAATGTGGCTCAGTGGTTTAGTGCTACTGAATTCAATCACTGGTACCTACCCCCCCAATTTGGTGTGTGTGTGTGTGTGTATGTGTGTGTGTGTACTGGGGATTGAACTCAGGTGCACCAGACCACTAAGCGACATCCTCAGTCCTATTTTTTTGTATTTTATTTAGAGACAGGATCTCACTGAGTTGTTAGCGCCTTGCTTTTTGCTAAGGCTGGCTTTGAACTCATGATCCTCCTGTCTCAGTCTCCTGAGCTGCTTGGATTACAGGTGTGTGCCACTGCACCTGGCCCCCACCAAAATTAAAAAAAAAATTATTATTTTTTTTACTGTACTGGAATTTGGACCGAGGGGCACTTTACCACTGAGCCACATCTCCAGCCCTTTTAATTTTTTGTTTTGAGATGGGTCTCACTAAGTTGCTGGGCTGGCCTTGAATTTATGACTCTCTTGCCTCTGCCTTCCAAGTTGCTGAGATTATAAGCACACACCACAATACCTGGCATAAGTTAAACTATTTTTTTTTTTTTGTGACACTGGTGTTTGAAACTAGGGGTGTTCTACCTCCGAGCTATAAGCCCAACTCTTTTTATTTTATTTTGAGATAGGGTCTTGGTAAGTGACCCAAGCTGGCTTCGAACTTATGATCCTCTTGCCTCAGCCTCTTGAGTTTCTGGGATTATAGGTATGTGCCACTGTGCCCTGGCTTTCCCTTTTAATTAACTAGTGACACTTGTGGGCTACATGGGGGCCTGTGTCACAGTAGTAACTGCTGACCTCTCTCCTGACCAGTCAAATACATGAAGGAGGTCTCACCATATTTCAAGAACTCTGCCAGCGGGACCTCGGTTGGCTGGGACTCACCCCCGTCCTCACCCCTTCAGCGGCAGCCTTCCTCCCCTGGTCCCCAACCCCGGAACCTCAGTGAGGTCAAACACGTGTCCTTGAAGATGGCATATGTTTCAAGAAGGTGCACCCCTACTGACCCCGAGCCCAGGTAAGGCTGGCGTAAGGCGGTGTTAGGTGGTGAGATCAAAGGAGAGCTTCCTCTGGGTCGTCTAAGTGGCAGGCACAGTGCTGGCACGTAACAGCTGCTGAAGAAATGGGTCAAATGGGTGCGCGAGTGAAGTCACGGACAGTGGTGTGCTTTGCTTCTCATGTTTCCCTCTGGGCTGTTCACATCTGAGGAGGACCTTGGTCTGGGTTCTGTCCTGATCCTCCTTGACCCAGCTCCTTTTCCTCACTGGCCTTTAGACTCTCCATTGTGAAATGACATTGTTGGGCCCAGTGATCCCTCTAGTCTCTGCCACGTTGGGGGAGGTTCTGAGATACGGCATTCATGTCAGGGCCACGGAAGGTTGTCATCCCTCACACCTGAGCAGCCTTCAGCTGTTCACTAACAAGGTTGGGCCTGGCCAGCATTTACTGAGTGCTTACTGTTTCCCCAGCACTGTGTCTAGTGGTACCCAGGCACAATTTCATCTCCCTCTCACAGAGCCTTTGAGTAAAGTCCTATTGCTCACCTCTTTTTATGATGAGGACCGAGGCACTCACCTTATTATTATTTTTTGGTACCAGGGATTGAACTCAGGGGTGCTTAACCACTGAGCTGCATCATGTGCCCTTTTTATGTTTTATTTTGAGATAGGGTCTCACTAAGTTGCTTAGGGCCTTACTTAATTGGTGAGGCTGGCCCTGAACTTGGGATCCTCCTGCCCTAGCCTCTCTAACATTGAGATTACAGGTGTGCCCGACCACGCCCAGCTTTCTGTCTTTTTTATTATGATATTTCTTTATGGAGGCAGGGTGATGGCTATACCTCCAAGCATTTTGTCTAATTCCAAACAAGAAAGAGACAAAAGCCTTTGCCTGGCTATCTATTCCAGCATAACAAACCATCCCAGCTGAGCGCAATGGCACACACCTGAATCTCAGTGACCTGGGAGGCTGAGGCAGGAAGATCACGAGTTCAAAGCCAGCCTCAGCAACTTGGCGAGGGCTTAAGCAACTTAGTAAGACCCTGTCCCAAAATAAAACCTAAAAAGAGCTGGGGATATAGCTCAGTGGTAAGTACCCTTGGGTTTAACCCCCAGTAGCAAAAACAAACAACCAGCCACACCCCCCAAAACCCCAATTATCCTAAACTTAGTACCTTCAAAAATAACAATTTATTATTTCTTCCAATTTGGCAGTGTGCCGGCACAGTCTGCCATTTCTTCTGTTCCCTTTGCTGTCTGCTGTGGCTTGAAGGCCAAGCTAGCGGTAACGCCCTCTTGTTTCCTTGGTGGGAAGGTCCAACATCTGGGGGCTGACTGAGCATTTCTCTTCCTATCTGGCCTTTCTACACAGTTATCTTGTGCTTCCTTATAGCATGGTGGTCTCAGTGTAGCTGGACCTCTTTTTTTTTTATATTTATTTTTTAGTTTTGGGTGGACACAATATCTTTATTTTTTATTTTTATGTGGTGCTGAGGATCAAACCCAGTGCCTCATGCATGCTAGGCGAGCACTCTACCACTGAGCCCCAGCCTCAGCCCTGGACCTCTTTTTTCAAAACATATTTTTAGTTATAGGTGGACAAATACCTTTATTTATTTAGGTATTTATTTTTAAATGTGGTGCTGGGGATCGAATCCAGTGCCTCACCCGTGCTCAGCAAGTGCTCTGCCCCTGAGCCACAATCCCAGCCCCTTGGACTTCTTATATAGTGGCTTGGAAATTCCACAGTGTCCCTTCTGCCATATTTTCTTTGTTGACCCAAGCCACAAAGTCTAGGAGAAGGAACACAAACCTCAGCCTCTGCGGGGAGTAGTGGACTATGTGTACAGGGAGGGATGGATTTGGTGGAATCCGTCTTTGGGCATGGATCTGCCCTTCACTTGGAATGGTCACCCTCTCCAGAGACTTCTAGGTGTGTCTTTTTGGTCAGAACTGGGCCACGTGGTCAGCCCTAGCTGCAGAGGAGGCTGGGAATTCAAGCACCTTGCTTTCTAGTTCTGAAGCAGACGTGAAGGGAGCAGAACGGGTGTAGTAAGCCACCCTCCACTTCTGTCCCGCCCTATCTAGTTCAGAAATGCCAAAGGGGAGTGACTCTTTAGTGCCCCACAAAGCCTTCTGAAAATGCCTTGCACACTGTGCCCGTTGAAACCCCCCTGAAACTCTCCCTCACAGCGGCCTGCATGTCCTTGTCTCCTCCCTTACCCCCACTTCATTTCCCAAGCTCTTTATTATGTAGGTCCATTTGGTCTCTTGACCACTTTCGTGTTTTTTCCCCTTGTAAGTATGCACACTACTTTGGTTTCATACAAAAGGAGAACCTGGGAGCTGGTCCAGCAAAAGAATCTTCCTTAAAAAACAGGAGAAAAGAGCATGATAATTACTCAGAGTAAAAATTTTGTCCCCCAGAACACATGTTTGAGTGTAATTGTGTGTTTGTGCACACGTGTGTGTGTGACATAGCCCTGTGTCCCTAGACCCCAACAACTGGAGCTGGGGCCCCAGCAGTGAACGTTGCTACTGATTCTCTCCTGGACATTCCCTGTGGCTGCTTCCGGTTTGGTGGTGGATTGGGTTTCTTAGGCCAGACTTCAGGGCTGGACAGCTGAAGCCCAGTGACAGGCCTCCCCTGCTCCATTTGTGCCCACAGGTATCTGGAGATCTGTGCAGCAGATGGCCAGGAGACGTTCTTCTTGAGGGCCAAGGATGAGGCTGGTGCAAGGTCATGGGCTGGTGCCATCCAAGCTCAGATCAACGCGCTGATGCCCTGGGTCAAGGAAGAGCTGCAGGCACTGCTGGCAGCCACGGGCACAGCTGGGAACCAGGACATCAAGCAGATTGGCTGGCTGACGGAACAGGTATCTGCCGGTTCCTCGGTGTAGCCCTCACTTTGACGCTGGCCTGTTCCCAATGCCCCTCTTCCTCCTCACTCTCCCTCTGACCTCTCCCCTTCCTATCCCTCCGCAGCTGCCCAGTGGGGGCACGGCCCCCACCCTGGCCCTGCTGACTGAAAAGGAACTGCTCCTCTATTCTAGTCTCCCTCAGACCCGTGAGGCCCTGAGCCGACCAGCCCGGACCGCCCCGCTCATTGCCACCAGGTATCCATGGGCACGGACTGTGTGACTCACCCAGAGCCTGGGGACAGATGCTTCAGATAGGTCCAGAAGCTATGCATTCCTGCCCTATTCTTCCCTGCCCTATTATTCCCTAAGTGATCTGAAGCAAGTCTCTGCCTTGTCTGGGCCCTCGGTTTCCTCATCTGTGAAATGGGGGCTTGGAGTAGAAAGGTGTAAGGTCCACTACACCCCATGCTGCATGGTTCAGAGGACTCAGAGCTTATCCCAGCAGACACTGCCCTCAGGGAGAACCCAGCCTGGTCCAGCAGACAGACCTAAGAGGTGACATTACAGTGCAGGGTTGAAGGAACCACTTATCTCTACCTGGCCTGGTTGGGGAAGGCTTTGAGGATGAGGTGACATCTGAGCTGTACTTGATGGGTGAGTTGATTATTTAGGAAAGGATGGACGAGCCTCTCATACAGGGAGTGTCGTGATCAGAGGTGCTGAGGCATCCAGGGCTGTGGCGTGTTCGTGGAGCTAGGAGTGCAGCATAACCAGGTACATAGTCCACGCAGGACACGCATTGAAAAGAGACAGGGGTCGGTGGGGCCTGATCTTGCGGGGCCTCTGCTGTCTGGTTAAGGATGCTGGCTTCCCTTTAAGACCTGTGGCAGAGCTGAAAGGGTTAAGCCAGGGAGTCCGGTGACTGGGGTTGTGTTTTTCAAAAAGTCTCCTGTGGCTGTCACTTGGGAAATGCACCGGAAAGGGCAGGATGGAAGCTGGCAGCCCCTGCAGCCTGCAGGGGAGCTGGTGTGACTGGGGGAGGCAGGTGGGCAGAGGCAGCAGATGGGGAAGAGAGGCAGCATTTGCAGTGGAGAATACACGTTGGGAAAATTCACAGCCTGGCGCTTGCCAGATGGGGAGGGAGAAGGAGGTGTCCCAGGATGAATAGGAGGTTGCAGTTTGGGGGGCAGGTGGGACTGGAGGTGGGAGTGCAAAGGGAGGAGGCTGGAGTGAGGTGCTGAGTCAGGTCCAAAGTGTGCGGGGGACAGATATGGAACTTGGATAGGGAGCTTGGGGACTTGCAAGTCTGTGGCTTATGGCTGGAATGTAGGAGATTGGGTGTCAGAAGGAGCCCTAAAGAGAAACTAGAGCTCCAGGAGAGAGAGAGCGTGGACAGGGTGAAGAGCAGAGAGGGCTGTGTCCAGAACTCTGAGGTCTGCTGATCAGAGAGAAGCAGTGAGCTGCCCAAGGCCACACAGCAAGAGGCTCCTCTCCTTGGGCTGGTTCTGGCCTGTGTGTCAGGAGTTTGCTGGTTACTGGGGACGAGTGGGTAGTAGATTGCCTACTTAATCAGCTGACTTATTAAGGCAACAAATGTTTGTGGAGCTCCTACTATGTGTCGGGCATGGTTTTGAGTTACTGGAATAGTGGTGGACAAATAGACAAAAGTTTCTACCCTAGTGGACATTCCAGTGAAAAAGCCAATGGAAGCAAACAAATAAAAAGCGCGATTTCTGGTGTCATGAGGAAAAGTAGGGCTAGTGAGAGAGAAGGGTGCTGTTGGCCAGGGCGGCCAGGGTGGGAGCTTTGATCAGCCTTTCCAGTGCTGTTCCCAAAGGCCTGACAAGAGCAGCTTCGGAGGAGGAAGCGTCTGTTTGGTGCTCGTAGTTTCAGAGTCTCAGTCCGTAGATGGCCAGCTCCATTGCTCTGGGCCAGAGGTGAGGCAGGACCTCATGGCGAAGGGCCGGCAGAGGAAAGGAGCTCCTGACAGTGCACCAGGAAGCAGAGAAAGAGAGGGATCCTTTCAACAAGGACAAAGGCATGTCCCCAGGGACCCACCTGCTCCAGCCATAGTTCCCTGCCTTTCGTTGCCACCCAGTTAGTCCCTGTCAGGGATTAATGCACTGAGAACCCAATCACTTCACCTCGCACACATGAGCTGTTAGGGGACACCTCATATCTAAACCCTGACTCTGGGCTTCTCAGAGGACGGACGTGACCTTTGAGCAAAGACCTGAAAGACGTGGAAAGGCGAGCCGGGGAGACCGTAGTGTTGAGGCAAAGGGAACAGCGCGTGCAGGGGTGCTGGGGCAGGAGTGTGCCTGGCGGGACACCACTGTGGCTGGAGCCGGGCCACCGGAGGAGGGTGGGGGAATCGCCTCTTGCTGAGTCCCCATTAGTGGGAAGGATCCACGGGTCACTGATCACTGCCCACTTTGTCCAGACTCTTCCCCCACCCCAGGGCCTCATGCGTCGCCCTCTGCCCTCCACCGCAGGCTGGTGCACTCAGGCCCCTCCAAGGGCTCGGTGCCCTACGACGCAGAGCTGTCCTTTGCCCTGCGCACGGGCACACGCCACGGTGTGGATACTCACTTGTTCAGCGTGGAGTCACCTCAGGAGCTGGCTGCCTGGACCCGACAGCTGGTGGATGGCTGTCACCGGGCTGCTGAGGGTGTGCAAGAGGTGTCCACAGGTGCGCTTGGATCTGGGAGTGTCTCTCTTGTAATGAGCCTCTTCCCCCTGGAGGAGGCATTCAACCTCTTCCTCTTCCTCCTTTTCCTCCCCGTCTCCTCATTCCTTATTTATTTATTTACTTATTTATTTGTGGTACTGAGGATTAAAAACTGGGGTGCTCTACCACTGAGCTGCATCCCCAGCCCTTTTTATCTTTTGAGACAGGGTCTCACTAAGTTGCCCAGGCTGGCCTTGAACTTGTAATCCTCCTGCCTCAGCCTCTCAAGTAGCTGGGATCACAGGCATGTGACACTACAGTTGGCTCAAGCTCCTTCTTTAGGGTACCCTAGAAGGGGGAGAGTAAGTGGGGTTTGGGTTCTCCAGAGGCCCTGTCTTTTGGATATGTAGATACCCTGGTAGGTCGTGGGTCTTTTCCCTTGGACCTTTCAAGCTGTGTCCTTGTAAAAGTTGGCACTTGGGGTGGGACTCCAGATGAAATGTAGGACACTCAGTTAAATTCGAATTTCAGATAAACAACAAATACTTTTTTTTCTGGTGGTTATTTATTTATTATTTTGATACCAGGGATTGAACCCAGAGGCATTTAACCACTGAACTACATCCTCAGCCCTTTTTATTTTTATTTTTAAATTTTTAGACAGGGTCTTGCTAAGTTGCCTGGGGCCTTGCTAAGTTTCTGAGACTGTGTTTGACTTCTCCTGCTTCAGCCTCCCAAAATGCTGAGATTTCAGGCACATGCTAACCATGCCCAGCTAATAGTATATACTTAAAAAAAAAAAAACCTAAGTATGTCTAAATTTTCTGCTGTTTTTCTGAAATTATTTTCTTTTTTGTTCTGGGGATTGAGCCCAAGGGTGCTTTACTGCTGAACTACATCTTCATTCCGTTTTACTTTTTATTTTGGGACAGGGTCTTGCTAAGTGACTGAGGCTGTCCTTGAGCTTGCAATCCTCCTGCCTTAGCCTCCTGAGAGCTGGGATTACAGGCTTGCACCACCATGTCCACCTGAAATTTAAATTTAGCGAGGCACCTCTATAGGTCTCTGGGACCATGCTTAGTGGGCTTGCTGATGTCTTTTTGGGGAGTGAGCCTCTTGCCATGGTAGATTCTTAAGCTCCCCCCTTTCTACTTATGGGGCTGCTAGGTGGGACTGGAAGCAGGCGCAGGTTCTCTGAGGGCCTGTCTTACTGAGTTTTAGGGTGGTGGTGACTGCACAGGGAGGTGAGCTCCCAGCCCTGGGGGTACTTTAGCCCCACTTTGTGGAGCTGCTGGTGGGGTTGGAGGTGGGTCACATGGTTTCTGAGGTGCCAGCTGTGCCTGTGCCCACGTGCCTTCCCTGCAGCCTGCACGTGGCATGGCCGTCCCTGCAGCCTCTCCGTGCACATCGACAAGGGCTTCACGCTGTGGGCTGCTGAACCGGGAGCAGCCCGGGCCGTGTTGCTCCGACAGCCTTTTGAGAAGCTGCAGATGTCCTCGGATGATGGCGCCAGTCTCCTTTTCCTGGACTTTGGAGGCGCTGAAGGCGAGATCGTAAGTGGAGGGTCACCTCTGTACCGTGAGGGGGGTGCACTCCAGGATGCCTGGCTGGACTGGGCCCTGACCCTTCTCTCCATCCTTCCTGCAGCAGCTGGACCTGCACTCCTGTCCCAAAACCATGGTCTTCATCATCCACTCCTTCCTCTCAGCCAAAGTCACCCGCCTGGGGCTCTTGGCCTAGAAGTCACCAGATGGGCTAGCCCTGAAGAGGGGGTGTCTGCCACGTGACCCGGCCCTCTGCTGACTGCCTGCTCACTGCTGGGCTGAGGGAGAGGAGAGGAGAACAGGGCCTGAGAGACCCAGCCTGTGAGGGAGGCTGGATTGGTCTTGGGGGCCAGGACCCAGACCCAGGACCCAGTGGACCTTGCCTGTGATGGGGTGGCCTTCCTGCTGCCCTCCTCCACCAGTGCCTTTTGCAGAGAGATATTTTGTGTACACAGAAGCCATTCCGAGCCTGGGACCTGCCGACCCCAGCTAACAACTGAGCTGCCGGGCCTCCTGAGGCCCCTATGCCACCCCAGAGGCCCCATCTGAGGGTGGAGTTCCCTGGTTAGCAGCAGGAGAAAGAAGAGGAGCCTTTCTGTTCACTTTCCCTTACGCCCACCACCTGAGGGCCCCTGGTTTTCCCTCCACCCCGCCCCCCTACTTCCTCTCTCTCTCCTCCTTCTGCTTGGATAATAAACAGCCTGTGAGCACATAGGCAGCCTGGCTCGGAGTCTGTGGTTTGCACCTTGGTTTGGGGGCCCTGTGGTGGCTCCTGAAGTTCCAACATGAATCAGACCAAGGATTGGGGCCTCTCTCCCTGGAGAAGAGGAGACCTTTAACCTAAGGGCCCCAAAGAGAGTGTGTTGTGTGACGAAGTACCTTCATATTTAGTGGTGCAAAACAACAGTATGTATTATTTCCTAGGTCCTGTGGGTCAGCAGTTTAAGAGGGGCTCAGTTGGGTTGTTTGTGACTCAGAAGGCTGCAGTCACCTGGGGTGGAGGGGCCGTTTCCTACATCGCTCTCACTTGTGGCTGTTGGTCGGAGTCCTCAGTTCCTGAGCACAGAGGCCAAACCACACAACTCCCTGAGTGTCCTCACAACATGGCAGCTGGCTTCCCCTAAATTGAGTGACTCAGAAAAGAGCAGGGAGGACCCGCTCTTGTGTCATGTAGTCACTTCTGCTTTGTTCTGTTCATTAGAAGTGAGTCACCAAGCCCAGCACACATTCAAGGAGGGGGTAAGTAGGTGCCACTATTTTTTTTTGTACTGGGGATTGGACCTAGGGGTGCTTTACCATTCCTTTTTTTTGAGAAAGGGTCTTGCTAGGCTGTGTAGGGCCTTGCAAAGTTGCTAAGGCTGGTCTCTAACTCTCAAGTCTCCTGTCTCAGCCTCCGCAGCTACTGGGATGACAGGTATGCACACTGTGCCTGGCTACACCTTTTGTAAAAGAGATGGGGGTCTTGTGTTGCCCATGTTGGTGTTGAAGGCAATCCTGCATCAATCTCCTAAGTAGCTGGGACTGTTGCGTTTCCGGTGACTTAAACACTCGGGTCACTCCAGGGGAACTGGGCCTCGCGAAATAACCACACAAGAGACAGAAATGCCTTTTTCTTTGGGGAGTACTGTGATGGCTCCTCTGACCTTAAGGATCCGCAGAGAGAGAAAGAGAGAGAGAGAGAGAGAGAGAGAGAGAGAGAGAGCACGTTCTGACCCCTTTTATTGAGTAGAAGCCATTCAAATAAGGCAAGGGGTCAGGTTTCAGGGGACTGAGTCTAGCTTCATGATGTCTGCTGCCAGCAGGTTGACTGACATCTAGGAAGTCCACACCCAAGGGCAGAGTAAGAGAAGGGGACACACAAGGGGCATTTCCATGGAACATTCTATCCTAAATAGGGCAAGGGGGTAATATTACAAAGGAACAGGTGAGCATAGCTCCACCCAGGGGGATGTGGGAAGGCACGCCCATGCACGAAGACACAGTTTCTTGACCCTAACATCTGAGTTACCTAGGCAACCAGATCACAGAGTGCCAGAGGATGCCACACCAATCAGAAGAGGAGACATATGCGGTCACATGCTAGTCAGCCTCCCACATGGGACAATGCCCATGTCACGATGCCTAGCTAGGATCCACTTTTTTTTTTTTTGTACCAGGCATTCAACTCAGGGGCACTTAACCACTGAGCCACATCCCCAGCCCTATTTTGAATTTTATTTAGAGACAGGGTCTCACTGAGTTGCTTGGTGCCTCGCTTTTGCTGAGACTGGCTCTGAACTCGTGATCCTCCTTCCTCAGCCTCCAGAGCCGCTGGGATTACAGGCATGTGCCACAGTGCCTAGCCCCCATCCCCCTTTTATTTTTTATTTTGAAACAAGGTCTTGTTAAGTTGCTGAAACTGGCCTCAAACTTGCAATCCTCCTTGCCTCATCCTCCTGAGCATCACTGGGATTACAGGTGTGAACCACCAAACTGGCTTAACATTTCTTTTTTTATACTGTTTTGAAAACTCAGGATGTATTTTACACCTCAGCACATCTCTATTAAGATGCCAAATTTCAATTGAAATACTGGATTTGTGTTTACACTTTTAAAAAATATGTATATATACTTCTGTATGTATATTTATATATGTATTCTAATGAATAGAATACATATATATACACACATATGTATTTTAAGTTGTAGTTGGATACAATACCTTTATTTTATTTATTTATTTTTCTGTGGTGCTAAGGATTGAACCCAGGGCCTCACATGCGCTAGGTGATCGCTCTACCTCTGAGCCACAACCCCAGCCCCTGTATTTAGATTTTATAACTTTTACATTTGAAAAACATAGATCCACACACTATGTTATTCTAAACATTCTAAAATCTTCTTAATTGCATTGTGTGTCAGATTTTAAATGAAAATAAAATCCAGTCTCATTCACACTAGCTGCATATCAAGTGCTCTGTAGCCACACGTGGTTCTTGCTTTGGGCTTAGTGGTTCTAATTGATCCTCCACATGAGGCAATGGGCACATGCAGCTACTAACAAGTCAGACCCAGAGCTGGTTCCAGAAGCCAGGTAATAGAAAATGGGGGGATGCAGGTAAACAGAGCCATTCCGACCTTGCTTACCCATCCATCCATTTACTCATCCATCTGTCAACCCCCTGTTCATCTGAGAAGCGTCTTGTTTTCTGCTCTGAACTTGTCCCCAGGGCCAGGAGATGATGTAGCCGTGAGTGAGGCAGACAGATCCCCATCCTCAGAGAAAGAAATTCATTAGCAGTTTCCATAATCAAATGGCGTGATTCCAATTGGGCAGACACATGGGGGTGGCAGTGGGATCTGACCTGAGCGGGGGGGCGGGGGGGTAGGGAAGGTTTCTCTCAGGAGGAGACACTGACATGGATGTCCACCAAAAGGAGCATGCTCTAATCAGTGCTGTGGAAAAACCCAGCCCCCATCTCAGCGGCTACAGCAACTAGCATCTATATTCATGCTCTGGGCTGCATGGTGATGAATTTGACTAGTATAAGCTAGGCTGGGTGGGGTGGTTTTGCTCCAGATTGTAGCCTGAGTTTGTGTTCCTTCTAGAGCCCAGGATGAGGGGGCTTCAGCTCCCAGAGCATGCTCTTCCCATGGCAAGTCACTGGGATACAAAGAAAGGTAAACCACGCAAGGCATATTCATGGCCGCAGCCTGACATCAGTGGGAAAGGAAATGCACTCCACCCACAGGGGGTGCAGAACGGTGGGAATAATCGCTCAGCATTATTAGGACGTTCACTGGCCAGTAGGAGTCGGGGGGAAAGTGGGAGGGCATCTCAGGCAAAGCATTCAGGAGAAAGGTCCTGAGGGAGGATGGAACCTGGGCTCCCCAATCTGGAGAGTTTGTTCTCGTCACTTTCACTGCCTAAGATACCACACCAGTCCAGCGGTCCAATGGCCACAGTCCCCAGATGCTCTCTGACTGGGCTCCCTGCTCCCTCTCCCGCCCTCACTGCAGTGTATTCTCCACACAGCAGCCACCACCTAGGCGAAGACCCTGGAGTCAGCAGGGACTGGCTTGGCCGTGGTGACCCATGGAAGCCGCAGCGCCTCAGTGGGAAGCTGGCCTGTCTAAGGCTGGATCAGTCACCAGAGGGGAGAGCAGGGCTTCAGGATCAGACTGTACTGTGGTAGATCCCAGCACAGTGACCTTACAGAGCTTCACAGTTCGAGTAGTTGGGTTCATCTCTATAAACTCACACATGCATGGAATTCACTTTCTGTTCCTGATCCTCCCACCTTATAGGTTTGCCTGCCTTCCTGCCTTCCTGCCTTCCTCCCTCCCCCCTCCCTCCCTCCCTCCCTTCCTATGTACTGGGAAATGAACCCAGGAGCACTCTACTACTGAGCCACATCCTCAGCCCTTTTTATTTTAAGGCAGGGTCTTGCTAAATTGCTTAGGGCCTCACTAAATTGTGGAGGCTGGCGTTGAACTCTCAATCCTCCTATCTCAGCCTCCCCAGCCGCTGGGATTACAGGTGTGTGCCACTTGACCACTGAGCCCAGCCCTATTTTATATTTCATTTAGAGATAGGGTCTCACTGAGCCACTTAGCATTTCGCTTTTGCTGAGGCTGGCTTTGAATTTGCGATCTTCCTGTCTCAGCCTCCTGAGCTGCTGGGATTACAGGCATGCACCCCCATGCCCAGCTTTTATAGGGTTTTTAATGAGGAGTGAAGAGTTTGGGTATAGCAAGGGTTTTCAGGGACCTCAGTGCTCTACTGGTTCAGGGTTCCAGAGCATTTTTGCATCTTATTGCCAGAGGGAATTCCTCCATCATCCTCCATCACCGGTCCCTCCACATGGCAAAATAGAGGAATTAGCACACCCAGCTGTGTCCTTCACCCCATGACTATAGTGTATAACTATCCTGACTCCCTCTCCCCTTGGGTGGGATAATTCTGTGGTTTATGAATATATTGGGGGGTTCTCCAGAAAAACAGAACTAACAGATTATATCCATATGTCTGTATCTAAGTCTGTTTGGGCTTTATAACAAAAATACCATAAATTACCAGGTGTGGTGGTGAGTGTCTACACTCCCAGTTACTGGGCCCCTGGCAATGTGGCTTATAAACAACAAAAACTTATTTCTCATAGTCCCGGAGGCTGCAAAGTCCAAGATCATGGGGCCAGCAGATTTACTGTCTAGAGAAGACCCATTTTCTGATTCCTACACATCATCTTCTCACTGTCCTCACATGCAGAAGGGGTGAGGGGTCTTCTGGGGTCCCTTTTATAAGGACACAACCCCTATTCCTGAGGGTTCTACCTTACAACCTAATCACCTTCCAAAGACCTCATTTCCTAACACTATTCCCTTGGGGGTTAGAATTTCAATACACAGACATTCTGACCATAGCAATATCTGTATTGCTACAGTATATACCTACAATGATATTTATTATGAGGAATTGGCTCACGTGGTTGTGGCAGCTATGTCCTACAAATTGCCTCCTGAAATCTGATCAACAAGGGAAAGTGGTAGCATAAATTTCAGTTCTGAGAACCAAGAATGCTAATGGTGTGAGTACTAGTCCTGGGGCAGGAGAAGATGGATGCTCAGTTCAAGCAGCAAGGCAGAGAAAGAATTCAGCCTTTGTCTGACTTTTTACTTTCCGTGGGCCCTCCAATGTCCACCCATCCACACTGGACAGGGCCATCTGCTTTACTCAGTCCACCAATTCAAATACTGTTCTCTTCCTCCAGAAATACCTTCAAGAACACAGTCAGAAATAATGTTTCACCAGATATCTGGGCATCCCATGGCCCAGTCAAGATGATACATAAAGTTAACTATCACAATATCCTACATTATTTCCTAGAGTTCCTAGCAGAATTAAGACCCAGATGCCCACAGGAAACTTGCTTGATACTACTATTTATTAGCTGTCTGTCATTCCTTATCTCATTCTCTGACTACCCTACCATCATGTCCTGAGATCATCTCCAAAGCCAAGTACCTGCACTCAAATGCTTATCTCAGGGTTGGCATCTGGGGAACACATAGTAAGACAGAAAGCAAAACAAGCATTTGTGAAACTCCTCAACAAGTCAGGCCCTGAGTGGATGGTGGGAACATAGAAGCAAACAAGACCTAACTTGTCCCTGCTCTCAGGAAGTTGAGAGTCGGGGAATGGGGGATGGCAAGTAAACAAATAATGCCATAATTTTTGATAGTGGCAAACATGAGAAGAAAATGATCTGATAAGTGATGGGAATTGTTTTAAGACCTCTCTGAAGATCTGATATTTAAGCTGAGTTCTTTAGGGTGAAAACCAGGCCAGCCATGGAACAATTTGAGGGAAGAACATTCCAGAAAGATAATGGTTGAGTACAAAGGCACTGAGATAAAAATGTGCTAGGGATATTGGAGGAGCAAAATTAAATTATGTAGTTGAAGTATACTTAACTAAAGAGAATGTTGTAGGAAAATTAGTAGTAAAAAGTAAGAGGGTAGCCAGGTGCACGCTTCTAATCCCAGTGGCAACTTAGTGAGACCCTGCCTCAAAATAAAAAATGAATAAATAAATAAAAAGGGCCGAGGATGAGGCTCAGTGGTTAAGCGCCCATGGGTTCAATTCCTGATATCAAGAAAAATAAAAAGTAAGTGGGTTGGTAAAGTAAAACTATAAGTAAGCAGGAGTCAGATCATGCAGGTCTTAGGATGCAGTGGGAAAGCAGGATTTTCTTTATTTTTCTTTGTCTTTTTGTTGTTGTTGTTGTTGTTTTTTGGCTCTTTTGGGGATTGAACCCTTATACATGCTAGGGAAAGTCTGGGTTTTATTGCAATGGCAAAGGGAAGCTGATGGGAATTTTCAGCAAAGGGGTGATAGGAATCTGATTTAATTAAACAAAAAGGTAAACTCTTAGGCTCTGTAGGAGACAATGTCAAGGACAAATTGAGACTAGTTAGCAGTGGATTGTGATTGTTTCCAGTGAGATGATGGTGGCCTGGGCTTAGAATTGTAGAAGTGGAGGAAGGAAAATGGACAGATGGAGATATCGCAGTCAGAGCTGACCTGCTGATGGACTGACTATGGAGATTAAAGGACAGGAAACAAAAATGACTCTTTGGTTCCTAGTGCAACTAGAAGGGTGGTTGATTCCCTGAGATGGGACAGATTGGCAAAACAAAAATGCGTGTGTGAAAACGAAGAGTTCTGTATTAGGTTAGAGATGATCATTAGACACCCCAGGAGATGTTCCAAATAGGCAACTGGGTTACTGGTCTGGAACTTCAGGGAGGTCCTGGCTCAGAGATGCATCAAGAAGTCATTGATCTACACAGCGTCACTGTCCAATGCAAATGGAATGAGAGCTATGTATGTGATTTAAAATTTTCTAGTAGTCACATTAAAAAAGTAAAAAGCAGAGTGCTTACCTAGCATGTACAAGGCCCTGAGTTTGATACCCTACACTGAAAAGAATTTGAAATAATAAGTCATGTTTATCACAGCAATACTCACAATAGCTAAGTTATGGAATCAGTCTAGATGCTCAGCAGTGAATAAATGGATAAAGAAAAATGTAGTACATATACACAGTGGAATATTATTCAGCCATAAAGAAGAATGAAATTATGTCACTTGCAGGAAAATGGATGGAACTAGAACTTATCATGTTAAGCAAAATAAGCCAGGTTTAGAAAGAAAAATATCACATGTTTTCTCTCATATTTGGAATCTGGGGAGGGAGAATAACATGAAAATAAAAGGGAGATGTTAGGGAAAGGGAAAAGGGTTGGAAGGAAAGAATGAGAAACAGGAAGGCTGAATACAATCAAAGCACCTTATATGTATATGTGAAATTGTCACAATGAAATTCCATTATTCTCCGGGGCTGGGGTTGTGGCTCAGTGGTAGTGCACTTGCCTAGCATGGGTGAGGCACTGGGTTCAATTCTCAGCTCCGCACATAAATATTTGACAACTAAAAAAAATAAAAATAAAAAACTAAAAAAAACTATGGTTTTTAACAAATGTTTCTTCTATCCCTCACGAAAGAAGGTGGGGGCTGTGAATATTTCAGTTACTGAAGTCTTAACTCCATAAATTAATAAATTCCATTATTCTGTACAAATAATATGCGCTAATTATAACAAAAAGAAAAAACAGATGAAATTAATTCAAATAATATATTTATTTTAACCAATGTATCCCAACTATTACTTCAACACATAATCAATATAAAAATTGTCGATAGCATATTTTAGGTTTTCTCATCTAAAAAAGGTGTATCTACTACATTTTGAGATTTTCTTTTTGGTGGTGCTAGATACGAGTCCAGGACCTCGCTTACACCAGGTAAGCATTCTACCTCTGAGCTACACCCCACCCTAGTTAAGGGTGCATTTAATTCGCATTCACCACCCTTCAAGAGCTCAATTGCCTCCTACTGGCTAGCGCGTGCCACGCCGCTCCGCGCAGCCCTTGGATTTTTCCGAAGCCAGGAGCTTGGGTCCACTCGGACCATATAGGAGAAGCACTTCCGTTGGGACGTCTCGGCGGAACGGAAGTCGTGCGTATACACGCGCAGCGGCGGACAGCTGAGTGGAGGACCGCACCGCCTAGCGGAGCTTCCGCTGAAGGACACTAGATCCGGCGGCTAGTAGAGGTGAGCGGCGGTCGGCGAGGGCTCGGTGAGTCACCTGCCCCTTGGCTGCACTCTGGAAATGCAGGGGGCTTATGGGGAAGTTGTCACAGTGGCTGCGGCGCGGGGCCTGGAGTCTGGGGTTCGTGCCCAACCCCGCTGCGTACTCCCGTGTGACCTTGGGCAAGTCACCCCACTTCTTCTGAGCACTAGCTTCGTCACCTGTGAAATGGGGATGATAAAACGAGCCTCACAGAGTTGCTGTGAGTTCTGTGCAGTAATCCTTGAAAAGTGCTTTGCTGCATACTTAACACGTTGTAACCATCTAATCAAAATGTGAGCATGTTGTAGGCTGTTGTGGCAGACTTAGAAAATTCATCTGAGACCCCCGATAGGCGCCTGCATCGCTCTGCAAAGCATTAAACCTGTGTCATCGCAATTGATTCTCACAACAGACTTAACAGAGATCGGTGCTGTTATTCTCATTTCACGCGAAAATGGAGATTCCCAGAGTTTAAGATAGGTGCCTAAGGTTATCTGGTTAGGCAACATTTGGGTCCGATTCTGACTCTAATATCCATACTTTTTTTTTTGATATTTATTTTTTAGTTCTAGGTAGACACAATATCTTTATTTTATTTTTATGTGTGCTGAGAATCGAACCCAGTGCCTCACGCATGCTAAGCGAGTGCGCTACCACTTGAGCCACATCCCCAGCCTTATCCATACTTTTAACCACAATGCTCTTCTATCCCTCACGAAAGAAGGTGGGGGCTGTGAATATTTCAGTTACTGAAGTCTTAACTCCATGCCAAGTTGGGTTTTTAATATCTTCCTTAATTCTCATAACACCCCTGGAGGGTAGGTATAACATTTATCTTTCTTTTATGGATGTGTAATTGGCAGTCCAGAAGGAGGAATTTGACTTGCCAAAGGTCACACAGCAATTAAGAGACAGAAATGGATGATTTTTTTTTTTTTGGGGGGGAGGCGGGTTCCTAAGAATTGAACCCAGGAGCGCTCAACCTCTGAGCCACATCCCTAGCCCTTTTTTATAAATTATTTAGAGACATTTTATATTTTATAAATTATTTAGGGTCTTGATGAGTTGCTGAGACTGGCTTTGAACTTGAGATGCCTCCCCAGCCTCTAGGATTACTGGCATGTATCATGGCCAATAATGGGTGATTTTTAAAGTTCACACTAAAAGTCTAAAGTGCTGATAGTAGATACTGCAGGTGATGAAGTTGGAAAGGTAACAGTGCATTATGCACGTGTAGCACTTGCCACAAGCCATTTCCTAAAATTGCTTAAGTGTTCTAGAACTGGGAGATGCTGAGGGCATAGAAATAATGAGATTTGGGGCTGGGGTTGTGGCTCAGTGGTAGAGTGCTTGCCTAGCACATGTGAGGCCCTGGGTTTGATCCTCAGCACCACATAAAAATAAATAAACAAAATAAAGGTGTTGTATACAACTAAAAAATAAATATTAAAAAAAAAGAAAAAATGAGATTTGTTTATTGCTTTCAGCAAGCTCCCAGCTTACAAGAGATGGCAGAGTGTAAGTTGTATTTGACAGAAAAGTGTGAACGTTATGTGTGTGTTTATTTGTTTGTTTTTGCAGCACTGGAAATTGAACCCAGGGCCTCACACAAGTATTCTCCCACCGAGTTACACTCCCACCCTTGTGAATGAGTCTCGTGATGGAGAGTTAGAAGAGTACTTTGGGAACTCAGAAGAGGATCCCAGCCTAAATTGGGGATGGTGGCCAGGGTAGGCTTTAGGAGGAAGCAGGGACCTGAAGGTGGCACAGAAGTTGGCCAGGCCACCAGAGGGAAGATAGGCTAGCCAGAGAGGACAGCATGTTTTAAAATTGAGAAGCTAGTGGCAATCAATACAGAGGTGCATTATAAGTGCAGAAGTGAGGCAGTCAGACCATAAATATTGGGTCCATTGAGAATGTGTGGTGTGGCCTGAGGGTATAGCCCAGGGGTATAATACATGCTCAGCATGTGCAAGGCCTTGGTTTTGACACACTTTCACTCAAAAGTAGTGGAAAGTATATTTTCATCTCCTGTACCTTAGACACTTAAGTCTTTTTCTGAGAGGCAACTATTGTTTCTTAGGCATGCTAGCAATATTATATATACCTAAAAATACGTATGCCTCAATATTTCCTGCCACTCCCCAGATTTAAGTATAGCATACTATAGGTAGTACTGAGCGCTTTTCTTCCTTGTTTTTCTTGTGTATAGATTCAGGCTCATTTTCTTTTTTTCTTTTTTAGTTGTCAATGAACATTTATTTATTTACTTATGGTGCTGAGAATCGAACCCAGAGCCTCACACATGCTAGGCAAGTGCTCTACCACTGAGCCTTAACCCCAGCCCTCAGCCTCATTTTCTAACAGTTGTATCTTATTCTGTTGTATGGATGTAGCAGGACTTATATAATTAGTTCCCCTATTGATGACATTCACATATTTTCCATTCTTTTGCCATTAGAAGCACTGCTGCACTGAATATCATTTTACAAATGTCCTCTTGAACTTGTTTATCTGTAGGATAAATATCTAGGAATGGAAGTTATTAGGCAAAGAATTCATGCATTTGTAATTTTGATGGAAAGTGGCAAATTGTCCTTTGTGAAGGTTGTGCTGTTTTCCACATGAGAGGGTCTGGGTAGGATGCTTTTGAAAGTAGCAGTTTGAGACTCTTGGAACATGAAAGAAGTCACACAGTAGACGCTGTCCTTTTGAAGGAACTCAAAGGAAGATGCCCTCAGACAGTGCGTGGTTTTTAGCAGGAAGCAGTATAGCAAGGTGGCTCTGGGCATGGGCTTTCGTTGAGTCCTGGCTCTCCTGGCTGGAGGAGCTTAGGTTAAGTCTCTTGTCTGTTTCATCATTTCTGAATGTCAATAATAATGGTGCTTTTTGCCTTTTTTCTGGCACTCCTCTCTGGGTTCTTTGGCATATTACCTTAGTTTTTTCACCTGTGAAACATGATGATGATGATGGTGATGATGGTATTGTTGTTGTTATCATTATTATTACACTGGGGATGGAACCTAGGGACACTTTAACACTCCCAGCCTTTTTCTGTTTTTTTCTGTCTTTTTCTGAGGATTGAACTCAGGGGCACTTAACCGCTGAACCACATCCCCAGCCCTTTTTTATGTTTTATTTAGAGACAGGGTCTCGCTAAGTTGCTTAGGGCCTTGCTAAGTTGCTGAGGCTGACTTTGAATTTGTAATCTTCTTGTTTTGACTTCCCAAATTGTTAGGATAATAGGCATGCACCACTGTACTGGCTTATTATAATTATAATAATAATAATTATTATTATTTTGGTACTGGGGATTGAACTCAGGGGCACTTGGCCACTGAGCCACATCCCCAGCCATATTTTGATTTTTATTTAGAGACAGGGTCTCCCTAGGTTGCTTAATGTCTTGCTGATGCTGATGCTGAGGCTGGCTCTGAACTCATGATCCTCCTGTCTCAGACTTCCAAGCAGCTGGGATTACATGTTTACACCACTGTGCCCGGCTTATAATTAGTTTTTAAGAAATGGTATTGCCATATCGGCCAGATTGGCCTTGAGTTCCTGGGCTCAAGTGATCCTCCTTCCTCAGCCTTAAAGTAGTTGGGTCTGTAGACATGCACTACTGTGCTCAGCTTGAAATAATATTATTAACCTCTTCATGGGCTTTTGCAAAGGATAAATGAATCAATATACACATGCTCAGAGCAGTATCTGTACATCAATAAATAAATAGTGTGTCTCATTCTTTTGCAGACTTTGGGCTGTTCAGTGCCATGCATCCTTTACAATGCATTCTTCGAGTACAGAGGTCTCTAAGGTGGGAACCGTTGACCTCTGTGTCCTGGCTCTTGTTCAAGACCTGTAAGGCACACAGCACTCTCCCCAGCACTGCATGCCCCAGTCCAGGCCAACAGGAGGATGGAGTTCGCAAGGATTTCAGCTCCAGGTTGGCCACTGGACCGACTTTTCAGCATTTTTTAAGAGCTTCAGCTCCTCAAGAGAAACCATCCTCTCCAGAAGCAGAGGACCCACCCCACTATCTCACAGTGGATGAACTTCTAGGAAGGCAGAGAAAAGGTTGGTTTTACTTTTCTTTCTCTTTTTTATTTGTGTTTCTTCAGACTGGAGTTTGAACTGAGGGGCCCTATACCACTGAGCCATATCCCTATCCTCTGTTTTTTTTTTTTTTTTCCCCCCTGCAGTGCTGAGGATTGAACCCAGGGCCTTGTGTATGCTAGGCAAGCACTCTACCAACTGAGCTATGTTCCCAGCCCCCATCCCTTTTTATATTTTATTTTGAGTCAGTGTCTTGCTAAAGTGCCCAGACAGGCCTGTAACTTGCAATCCTCCTGCCTCAGCCTCTGGAGTGGCTGGGATTACCTGTATACACTGGTGTGCTTGGCTCATTTTGTGTTTTGTTTTGTTTTGTTTTCCCTGTGGCCACCACACTGCTTCCAGGCTGGAGAGCCTCTTCATTTCTGGGATGAGTGTAACATGTGGATTTAAACTTATTTTGCTCTCAGGCTGATAAACCGATCACTGGTCCTTCCTTTTCTGTTTTTAAAAACCATATTTCCTCATATTTTAAATGACATGGCTTGTAACTGGTGTATGTATATAACATGGCATTTCTTTTGTTTAGAAACGCTGCAATTAATTTGGGGTACATCTGGCAATCGATAGTATTTTAGGATAGAGGCAGTAGGAGACTTAGTGGGTAATCGGTTGCCTCAGGTGTTCCTAAGGCTCTTGACGCCTTTTGAGACATGTGACCCATTGTCATGTTCTTCTCATTGCAGTCTATCTTGAGACCTACGGCTGCCAGATGAACGTGAATGATACAGAGATAGCCTGGTCCATCTTACAGAAGAGTGGCTACCTGCGGACCAGTAACCTCCAAGAGGTACATGCATTTCCTGCTTCCTTGTGTTTTCTGGTCCTGGGAGAGACTGCGTTTATTGCTAATTCTTAAGTGCAGCCTGCTGGGAGAATCTTTTGTGTGGGGTGTACCATGGGACTGAGATGTACTTTTGTTCCAGCTTTTTTTTTTTTCCTCCTATTGGGGATTAAACTCAGCCACATTCCCAGTCTTTTTTGTATTTTATTTTGAGAAAGGGTCTTGCCAAGTTGCTTAGGACCTTGTCAAGTTGCTGAGTCTGGCTTTGAAGTCATGATCCTCTTGCCTCAGCCTCCCCAGCCACTGGGATTACAGGCTTTTTTTTTTTTTTTTTAATATTTTTTTAGTTGTTGGCAGACCTTTATTATTTACTTATTTGTTTATATGTGGTGCTGAGAATCGAACCCAGGGCCTCACACATGTCAGGCAAGTACTCTACCACTGACCCCAACCCCAACCCCTACAGGCTATTTTTGAGACTCTTATGACGACACTTAACTTTAGGCAAGGACTTTTAAAAATTTGCTGTGGGGAGGGGAGGCGGAGAGTTAGTACTTAGTGGGTACAGTTTTAGTTGTGGAGGATGAGGTAGTCCTAGAGGTAGATGGTGGTGATGGTTGCATGATAGTGTGAACGTTCTTAGTGCCGCAGAACATCATCGTGTTTGAAATGATAAAAGTTTGTGTATGTTTTACTAGGGTGCTGATTCTACAAAGCCAATTTCATAGATTACAATTTTCCTTTTTTCCCTTGTTTTCTGTTCAGGCTGATGTGATTCTTCTTGTCACTTGTTCTATCAGGTATGAATTTTCTTCCCCAAGAAGGTGAATTATGTAATTATGAATTATGTAATTATGTAATTGTGCCAGAGCTATCAGCATGCAGTGGACTTACCAGTGGAGGCGAGCCCATGGCTGCATGTTAGCTGACTTGCAATTTTCCTGCAGTGGAACTGGTCTTGATGCAGCCGACTGTCATATGCTGAGCACATGCTGTATGTCAGGTTCCCCGTGAACACTGTACATGTGTTAACGAGTTTAATTTTCATAACCGCGATATAAGGTTAGCATTCTTATCAAACCTATTTTATAGGTGCAGAAACCCCAAAGTGTGTTGAGTCACCCAACCTTTCCTGAGGTCTTCCTTGTTACTAATGGCATATGTGTATAATATAACTGCCTGAGTGAGGGTGCAGCCAGTGGCTGGGGGAGAAAGAGTTCTTCACAGAGATGCTTCCTGGCATCCATTAGGGGTGTCTGGGAAGCCCTTGGCTGTAGGAAGCCGTTTCCGTATTCAGGCATGTGTTTCCTTAGCTGGCTGAGCCATCGACTGTGTTTCATCATTTTTATTCTGAGGGCCTTTTTGCTGTATGGCACACAGTGAGGAGCTTTAGGAGATTCAGAAATGAACCCTTTGGGGCTGGGGATATAGCTCAGTCAAAGAGTGGCCCCTGGGTTCAATCACCAGTAAGGAAAAAAAAAAAAAGAAAAGAAGCCTTCTATGGAGCCTAGCTTTAAAGGAGCTTATTCTCATATTGGAACTAGAACAGATGTACAGATCACTCTGACATTCCATAGAAAATACTAGGTAAAGACTAAAACAACAAAAGCAAATTGCTACAAACAGTGAAAACCATAAAGTGGAAAGTGAGTTGAAGGGAGGAAAAACTCTTTTGCAGAGGTGGGGAAGGCTTTGAAAAGTAGACTGTTTTCTTTTTTTTTGGGAGGGGAGTACTGGAGATTGAACTTAGGATACTCAACCACTGAGCTACATCCCCAGCCCTATTTTGTATTTTATTTAGAGACAGGTTCTCATTGAGTTGCTTAGTGCCTCGCCGTTGCTGAGGCTGGCTTTGAACTTGCGGTCCTCCTGCCTCAGCCTCCTTCTGGGATTACAGACATGCACCACTGTGCTTGGCAAAAAGTAGACTGTTTTTGAGTTTGGCTTATAGTCTTGTCAGGATTTGGGGATGTGTAGGATAGGTGTTATTCTAGGAAAAGTGGATTATAGCAAGCAGTGCTTCTTCAGTTGACCCAGCTAACCTCTCTGAGTATAAAGGTAGACGTCATTTAAAAGGTTGAAGGTGGTTTTATTTCCTTTACTTTGTTCTACTCTCCTAATTTCTCTATAGATTATTTTTGGTTCAGTTTTGCCTCTCTTGATCTCTGTAGGGAGAAGGCTGAACAGACCATCTGGAACCGTTTACATCAGCTTAAAGCTTTGAAGATGAAACGATCCCGCTCCCGGGTGCCTCTGAGGATTGGGATTCTAGGTATCCGGTAATTTGCAGATTTTGTCCTTTTTGAGACTTGGATTCCAAAGGGGCTTATATGCTAGAGTTTCCCTTAGAGGCTCGTATCCCAGGGCATGAAGAAACCTTATATACCCTATGCAACTCTTATTCTTAACATCAAAGGCTACAAGATTAAATGAGATAAAGCCCATAAAAGGGCTTTCCATAGTTCCTGGAAGTATAGGTGCTCAGAAAATGGTATATCTTTCCTCCAGTCTGATGCAGCTCATGGTGGCATGGGATTATGGATGGGGTAGTGTTTGGAATTTGAAGGGGCAGCATAAAGTTTCAATGTAGGCACCTTTTGTCTGGACCCCTAACACATGCCTGAGTGAAGAGACAGGCCTGCTTTGATTAGTGTGATAGCCACTAGCTACAGTTATAAAAAAAAGTTCACCTCAGTTGCTTTAGCCACATTTCCAACTGCTCAGTGGACACACAAGATGACAGCTACTAGGTTGGACAGCACATTCAGTCATTTCCATCCAGCACATTCTATCACTTATTAGAAAGTTCTGTTAGACAGTTTTGACCTAAATGGCTGAGATGCATATTTTTAAAAAATGCTCCCAGCCAGGCATCGTGGTACACATGCCTGTAATCCCAGCAATTTAGGAGGCTGTGGTAGGAGGATTGTGAGTTCAAAGCCAGCCTCAGCAACTTAGCAAGGCCCTAAGCACCTCAGTGAGACCCTGTCTCTAAATAAAATACAAAAATAGGCGCTGGGGATGTGGCTCAGTGGTTGAATGCCCCTGAGTACCAATCCTCTGTACCAAAAAAAAAAAAAAGCTCCTTATTCTTTCTGTCCCAGAATTTAGTTAACATACTTAACATTATGGATTCTAGTCTGTGTCATTGTGGAATAAATTAATCCCTCATGATGAGTCAACACATTTAGAGTAAATCTGGTTATACTGATGAATGTAGTAAGAGATGCTGGAAGATGAGATTGCGGAAATGTTTTTTTTTTTTTTTTTAATAATATCTGTTTCTTTTAATTGTACACAATACCTTTATTTTATTTATTTATTTTTATGTGGTGCTGAGGATCGAACCCAGGGCCTTGCACGATCTAGGCGAGTACTCTACTGCTGAGCCACAACCCCAGCCCAGTGGAAACGTTTTGTTTCACTTCACTTCCTTTGTTAGAGAAGCTTCCTTTGTTATAGCAGCACAATTCACAAGAGCTAAACTGGGGAGCCAACTTAGATTTCCTTGATTTTCTTATGTAGGAAGATGCAGGTTCCAGTGCTGTGGTTCAAATTTGAAGGATGCTACTAAACTCTTTGAGAATTTTCTGTGCTGTGGTCTGTAATTAAAGCTAGGGATGATGGATACTGAGAAGAAGGCATGAAAGCAGATGAGTTTGCAGATAGATGCTTGTTTCTTTTCCCCGCCAGGCTGCATGGCTGAGAGACTAAAGGAGGAGATCCTCAACAGGGAGAAAATGGTGGATCTCTTGGCTGGTCCGGATGCCTATCGAGACCTTCCCCGACTGCTGGCTGTCGCGGAGTCAGGGCAACAAGCTGCCAATGTGCTGCTGTCTTTGGAGGAGACCTATGCTGATGTCATGCCAGTCCAGACAAGCCCCAGTGCCACCTCTGCCTTCGTGTGAGTTATTGCCTAGGACTTGGGAGATGAGACTCTTTTCCTTTTCACTTTTAAAATAACACATAACTTTCATTATGTTTAAAAAAAAAAAAAAATATATATATATGTATATACACACACACACGTATACACACACATATATATGTACGTGGAATGGTACAAAACACAAAAAATAATATTGTAAGAGTGCTTCACACCCATCATCCCTAGTCTCTAAACTTCTTATTCTTTTGTGATTCAGGGACTTGTGCATGCATGTGCTTAGCCACTGAGCTACAGTCCTAGCCCTCTTAATTTTATTTTGCTTAGTTTGCCAGACTGGCCTTGACCTTGCAGTCTTTCTGCTTCAGCCTCTGAGATAGCTGAGATTGCAAGTGTGCACTACCTCCCCTTGCTGAATATTTCTTTTTTTTTTTTTTTGTATTTTTTTTAATTGGTTGTTCAAAATATTACAAAGCTCTTGACATATCATATTTCATACATTTGATTCAAGTGGGTTATGAACTCCCATTTTTACCCCGTATACAGATTGCAGAATCACATTGGTTACACATCCACGTTTTTACATATTGCCATACTAGTGACTGTTGTATTCTGCTTTCTGCTATCTTTCCTATCCTTTACTATCTCCCCTCCCTTCCCCTCCCATCTTCTCTCTCTACCCCATCTACTGTAATTCATTTCTCTCCCTTGTTTTTTTTTTTTCCCCCTTTCCCCTCACATCCTCTTATATGTAATTTTGTATAACAATGAGGGTCTCCTTCCATTTCCATGCAATTTCCCTTCTCTCTCCCTTTCCCTCCAACCTCCCATCCCTGTTTAATGTTCATCTTTTTCTCATGCTCTTCCTCTTTGCTCTGTTTTTAGTTGCTCTCCTTATATCAAAGAAGACATTTGGCATTTGTTTTTTAGGGATTGGCTAGCTTCACTTAGCATAATCTGCTCTAATGCCATTCATTTCCCTGCAAATTCCATGATTTTGTCATTTTTTAGTGCTGCGTAATACTCCATTGTGTATAAATGCCACATTTTTTAATCCATTCATCTATTGAAGGGCATCTAAGTTGGTTCCACAGTCTAGCTATTGTGAATTGAGCTGCTATGAACATCAATGTAGCAGTATCCCTATAGTACGCTCTTTTAAGGTCTTCAGGGAATAGTCCGAGAAGGGCAATAGCTGGGTCAAATGGTGGTTCCATTCCCAGCTTTCCCTGGAATCTCCATACTGCTTTCCAAATTGGCCGCACCAATTTGCAGTCCCACCAGCAATGTACAAGTGTACCCTTTTCCCCACATCCTTGCCAGCACTTGTTGTTGTTTGACTTCATAATGGCTGCCAATCTTACTGGAGTGAGATGGTATCTTAGGGTGGTTTTGATTTGCATTTCTCTGACTGCTAGAGATGGTGAGCATTTTTTCATGTACTTGTTGATTGATTGTATATCCTCCTCTGAAAAGTGTCTGTTCAGGTCCTTGGCCCATTTGTTGATTGGGTTATTTGTTTTCTTATTGTTTAATTTTTTGAGTTCTTTGTATACTCTGGATATTAGGGCTCCATGTGAAGTGTGAGGAGTAAAGATTCGTTCCCAGGATATAGGCTCCCTATTTACCTCTCTTATTGTTTCTCTTGCTGAGAAAAAACTTTTTAGTTTGAGTAAGTCCCATTTGTTGATTCTTGTTTTTAACTCTTGTGCTATGGGTGTCCTATTAAGGAATTTGGAGCCTGACCCCACAATATGTAGATCAGAGCCAACTTTTTCTTCTATCAGATGCAGAGTCTCTGATTTGATATCAAGCTCCTTGATCCATTTTGAGTTAACTTTTGTGCATGGTGAGAGAAAGGGATTCAGTTTCATTTTGTTGCATATGGATTTCCAGTTTTCCCAGCACCTTTGTTGAAGATGCTATCCTTCCTCCATTGCATGCTTTTAGCCCCTTTATCGAATATAAGATAGTTGTAATTTTGTGGATTGGTTTCTGTGTCCTCTATTCTGTACCATTGGTCCACCTGCCTGTTTTGGTACCAGTACCATGCTGTTTTTGTTACTATTGCTCTGTAGTACAGTTTGAAATCTGGTATTGCTATACCTCCTGATTCACACTTCCTGCTTAGAATTACTTTTGCTATTCTGGGTCTTTTATTTTTCCATATGAATTTCATGATTGCTTTCTCTATTTCTACAAGAAATGCCGTTGGGATTTTGATTGGCATTGCATTGAACCTATAGAGAACTTTTGGTAATATCGCCATTTTGATGATGTTAGTTCTGCCTATCCATGAACAGGGTATATTTTTCCATCTTCTAAGATCTTCTTCTATTTCTCTCTTTAGGGTTCTGTAGTTTTCATTGTATAAATCTTTCACCTCTTTTGTTAGGTTGATTCCCAAGTATTTTATTTTTTTGAGGATATTGTGAATGGGGTGGTTTTCCTCATTTCTATTTCAGAAGATTTGTCGCTGATATACAGGAATGCCTTTGATTTATGTGTGTTGATTTTATATCCTGCCACTTTGCTGAATTCATTTATTAGCTCTAGTAGTTTCTTTGTAGACCCTTTTGTGTCTTCTAGGTATAGGATCATATCATCTGCAAATAGTGATAAATTAAGTTCTTCTTTTCCTATCTTAATGCCTTTAATTTCTTTTGTCTGTCTAATTGCTCTGGCCAGTATTTCGAGAACTATATTGAATAGAAGTGGTGAGAGAGGGCATCCCTGTCTTGTTCCAGATTTTAGAGGGAATGCCTTCAATTTTTCTCCATTCAGAATGATGCTAGCCTGAGGCTTAGCATAGATAGCTTTTACAATGTTGAGGTAAGTTCCTGTTATCCCTAGTTTTTCTAGTGTTTTGAATATAAAGGGATGCTGTACTTTGTCGAATGCTTTTTCTGCATCTATCGAGATGATCATATGGTTCTTATCTTTAAGTCTATTGATGTGGTGAATAATGTTTATTGATTTCCGTATGTTGAACCAGCCTTGCATCCCAGGGATGAATCCTACTTGATCATGGTGCACGATCTTTTTGATATGTTTTTGTATCCGATTTGTCAGAATTTTATTGAGGATTTTTGCATCTAAATTCATTAGGGATATTGGTCTGTAGTTTTCTTTCTTTGAGGTGTCTTTATCTGGTTTGGGAATCAGGGTGATATTGGCCTCATAGAATGAATTTGGAAGTTCTCCCTCTTTTTCTATCTCCTGAAATAGATTGTAGAGTATTGGTATTAGTTCCTCTTTAAAGTTCTTGTAAAACTCTGCTGTATATCCATCCGGTCCTGGGCTTATCTTGGTTGGTAGTCTTTTGATGGCTTCTTCTATTTCCTCACTTGATATTGGTCTGTTTAGGTTGTTTATATCATCCTGACTCAATCTGGGTAGTTCATATGTCTTAAGGAATTTATCGATGCCTTCACTATCTTCTATTTTATTAGAGTATAGGGTTTCAAGATAATTTCTAATTATCTTCTGTATTTCTGAATTGTCTGTTGTGATGTTGCCTTTTTCATCCCATAAGCTAGTAATTTGGGTTCTCTCTCTTCTTCTCTTTGTTAGCGTGGCTAGTGGTCTATCAATCTTATTTATTTTTTCAAAGAACCAACTTTTAGTTTTGTCAATTTTTTCAATTGTTTCTTTTGTTTCGATTTCATTGATTTCAGCTCTAATTTTAATTATTTCTTGCCTTCTACTGTACTTGCTGCTGATTTGTTCTTCTTTTTCTAAGGCTTCGAGGTGTAGTTGTGAGGTCATTTATTTGTTGGTTTTTCCTTATTTTAAGGAAATGAATTTTCCTCTTAGTACTGCTTTCATAGTGGCCCAGAGATTTCAATATGTTGTGTCTGAGTTTTCATTTACCTCTAAGAATTTTTTAATTTCCTCTTTGGTGTCTTCTGTAACCCTTTGTTCATTCAGTAGCATATTGTTTAATCTCCATGTGATGTAGGATTTTTTCCTTTCTCATTTTATTATTGATTTCCAATTTCATTCCATTATGATCAGATAAAATGCATGGTAATATCTCTACTCCTTTGTAATTGCTAAGATTTGCCCTGTGACATAATATATGGTCTATTTTTGAGAAGGATCCATGTGCTGCTGAGAAGAAAGTGTATCCGCTTGATGTTGGGTGGTATATTCTGTATATATCAATTAAGTCTAAATTATTAATTGTATTATTGAGCTCTATGGTTTCTTTATTCAGCTTTTGTTTGGAAGATCTGTCCAGTGGTGAGAGAGGTGTGTTAAAATCTTCCATGATTATTGTGTTGTGGTCTATTTGACTCTTGAACTTGAGAAGAGTTTGATGAATGTAGTTAGTTGCACCATTGTTTGGGGCATATATATTAATGATTGTCAAGTCTTGTTGGTGTATGGTTCCCTTGAGCAGTTTGTAGTGTCCTTGTTTATCCCTTTTGATTAACTTTGGCTTGAAGTCTATTTTATTTGATACAAGTATGGTCACCCCTGCTTGCTTCTGGGGTCCATATGAGTGATATGATTTTTCCCAACCTTTCACCTTCAGTCTGTGTATGTCTTTTCCTATCAGATGAGTCTCCTGTAGGCAGCATATTGTTGGATCTTTTTTTTTAATCCATTCTACTAGACTATGTCTTTTGATTGGTGCATTTAAGCCATTAACATTTAGGGTTACTATTGAGATATGGTTTGTATTTCCAGCCATATTTGATTATGTATGTTACTTAACATGATTTGGTTTTCCTCTATGATTAGTTTTTCCTTTACTGTACTACCTCCCGCTGTTGGTTTTCATTATTATTTTTCATTTCCTCTTCCTGTAATGTTTTGCCAAGGATTTTTTGAAGAGCTGGTTTTCTAGCTGCAAATTCTTTTAACTTTTGTTTATCGTGGAAGATTTTTATTTCATCTTCAATCCTGAAGCTTAATTTCGCTGGATACATGATTCTTGGTTGGAACCCTTTTTCTTTCAGCATTTGAAATATGTTGTTCCAGGATCTTCTAGCTTTCAGAGTCTGTGTTGAAAGATCAGCCGTTATCCTGATTGGCTTACCCCTAAATGTAATCTGCTTCCTCTCTCTTGTGGCTTTTAAGATTCTCTCCTTATTCTGTATGTTGGGCATCTTCATTATTATGTGTCTTGGTGTGGATCTCTTATGATTTTGTACATTCAGTGTCCTGTAGGCTTCTAGTATTTGGATTTCTTTTTCATTCTTTAAGTCTGGGAAGTTTTCTAGTATTATTTCATTGAATAGATTGCTCATTCCCTTGGTTTGGACCTCTATACCCTCTTGTATCCCAATAACTCTTAGGTTTGCTTTCTTTATATTATCCCATAATTCTTGGATATTCTGCTCATGATTTCTTAACATTCTCGCTGAGCTGTCTATGTTCTTTTCAAGTTGAAAAACTTTGTCTTCGTTGTCTGAAGTTCTATCTTGTGTTCTACTCTGCTGGTAATGCTCTCATTTGAGTTTTTAATTTGGTTTATTGTTTCCTGCTTTTCCAGGAATTCTGTTTGTTTGTTTTTTATATCCTCTATCTCCCTATAGAGTTGATCTTTTGCTTCTTGGATTTGTTTATGTAATTCATTGTCAAAGTGATCTTTCATTGTCTGAATTTGCTGTATAATGTCTTCCTTGAGACTCCAGATCATCTGAAGCATATATATCCTAACTCTTTGTCTGACATTCCATCAGCTGCAGATATTACCTCATCTAATGTTGAATTGACCTGTATTGTTTATGGTCCTTTCTTTTCTTGTCTTTTCATACTGCTCATGATTCTTTCTAGCTTTGTGAAACTGTTGTGTTAATGTTTTTCCCCTTATATATTTGTATTGTTCTTGTATAGCTCCAAAATCCCTCTTTTTCGGAGAAAGACAATGTTAACAGTTCCCAGTATCAACAGTACATCATCTAAGCACAAGTTTTCATTATTAATACATTGATAGTTAGATTCTAAGTCTATAGATATTGGTTTTAATTATTACTTAAGAATATAGTCATTAGTTTCATAAAAGGCATACCATATAGAAAACTTAATTTCAGACGAAGGATGTTATACTTAGAGGGAAAGGAGTGAGGGTATGAGGTTAAACTAACTTAGCACCTTTGGAGAACTCTCACCAATAGACTGGTAATTTATGGAAGAATGTATAGACTCAACCTCCTATCTGTATTTAGATAGTTACCCTATGTATAGGTAGCAAAAATTAGGATATTGAAAGTGCGATAGAGGGAATACGAATGAAAAAAAGAAAAAAATAACAAGGAAGAAAAGAGAAATAAGAGAGAAGGAAAAGGAAAGTAAGATAGAAATAAAGAAAAAAAAATGGGGGGAAGGTGGGGTATATGCAATTCCTCTATATTATATTACTTTGGTAATTCGGTTGTTCATGCACAGTTCTTGGTTTCACGTATGTTGAAGTTGTGGAAGAGAGAGAAGAAAAGAGAGAAAGAGAAAAAAAAAAGTCTCTCAGAACACCGTTTTCCTTGCTTCCAGTAGGTGGCGTTGTCTATTCCTAGCTTGAGCCTCTGTATTCAGGGTGGTGGGTATAGCCAGTGTGAAAGGAAATGAGCTTCCTCCTGTATCTTCCCTACTCTAGTCTCTGAGGTAGAAACCAGGTGCCTGTACAGTTGTTGTTTTGCGTTGATAGCTACAACCCCCAAAAGCTTGTGGGAAATATTTTTGAGTTATCGCAGCTAAGGGTGGGGGAGTTGGAAACCGGGTACCTGGATCAGCCGCAGAACTGTGCTGGTAGCCACACCCGCTTTGATGGGTTTTAAGGGTTGATGGGCTTCCTCTGGACTAGCACACGGGGCGGGGCTGGGCTTCCTCCTCCGGTCTGGCTTGGCTGGCGCCGGGCTTCCCCCTCCGGTCTCGCTGAATATTTCTTAAAGTGGCATTAAATTTTCTATGACAGATTTTATAAATTTTTGCAAATTTTATTGGAATAGGCCCATTTATTTACATATTGCTTAGCTGCTTTCATCACTGCAGCAAGAGTTGTGTAGTTGTGATGCAGAGGGAGGCCTGTTTACCATCTTTTTTTTACAGAACAAATTTGCTAACCTTTGTTCATTTTAATGGTATCTCATTCTGTTGTTGAAATAAATGTTCAGTAAACACAATAGCTAACATTTATTAAATAGTTCTTCAGTGAACATTTTTGATTCATATCTGTAATTCCTTAACATAAATTAAAATTCTTATACAGAGAATGCAAATGAAAGAGAGTGATTTAATTTGGGTATCTAGCAGTTGGATCAGGATTCTGTGAGAAATGCAGGGTCTTCTCTCTCTTCTCTCTGCGCATGCACACACACTGACCACTCACTCTTTGACACTTATATTTTTTCTGATCTAGATATAAAAAGTTCAAATAGTGTGCCCATAAAAATAGAAGCTGGTGATGGTACACGCCTATATTCCTAGCCAATTGGAAGGCTGAAGCAGGAGGAGTTTGAAGTCAGCCTTAGCAACTTTTTGAGACCTTGTTTTAAAATAAAAAATGAAAAGAACTGGGACTGTAGTTTAGTGGAGAGCATACCTGGGTTCATTCCACAGAACTGTGACAAAACAAGTCAAGACAGAAGTTCATGTGTGGTGAGTCTGTAAGCCATCCCTTCACCACTGAGCTCCCTCAGGCTAACCACTGTCTTCCATTTACAGTTTGGTTTGTGTTCTGTGACTAGACACTAGTTTTTTTTTTTTTTTTTAATATATGTATTCTTTTTAAGAGAGAGAATATTTAATATTTATTTTCTCAGTTTTCGGCGGACACAACATCTTTGTTGGTATGTGGTGCTGAGGATCGAACCCGGGCCGCACGCATGCCAGGCGCGCGATACCGCTTGAGCCACACCCCCAGCCCAACACTAGTTTTTAAAAGCTAAAAAATGTCTGCTTTAGTTCTTTATAGATCTCAGATTGGCCCAGTGTGACTGTGCAAGCTAGAGGATTCAGAGCCAAAAAATAATCCCACGGGAACTCTTGGGGTCATGCCAAGACACCCTGCTCTGTTAAATAAGATCTGGTAACTTTCTTCCCCAGGTCAATAATGCGGGGCTGTGACAACATGTGCAGCTATTGCATTGTTCCGTTCACACGTGGTAGGGAAAGGAGTCGGCCTGTGGCCTCCATTCTGGAGGAGGTGAGGAAGCTTTCTGAGCAGGTGAGTGATCCAGGCTCTCTTTCTATGATTGTGTCTTGGGAGGATGAGGACAACCTATTTTAATATTGTAGCCTCTGCTGTCTGTATGTTGTGCAAATGTAGGACCATGCCTGGCCAGAAATACTTGGGTGTATATCTTTGGTTTATCACCACAAATTATAGGCTTTTTGCTTAGGAGGTAGCACAGTGCAATGGCTAGAGCATGAGTTTAGAATCAGGTGACCAAATGTGAATTCTCTCTGTACTATTCTCTAGCCTGGTACCTAGGTATGTCATTTGACCATCTTCTTTGAAACACAATTTCCCCATCTATGAAAAGAAGATAATACCTTCCTTGTAGAGTCATGGAAAAGATTGAGGAAAAGTTTTTGGTTTTTTTTTAATATTTATTTTTTAGTTTTAGGTGGATACAATATCTTTATTTTACATTTATGTGGTGCTGAGGATCAAACCCAGTGCCTCGTGCATGCTAGGCAAGCACTCTACCACTGCGTCACAACCCCAGCTCCAAGATTGAGGAAAAGTTTTAAATTCCCTGGCATATAGTAGGTTTTTGGGGAATGACACATTAGTCTGTCCTTTTTAGGGGAATCTCCCACATCTGTAGTTCATCTTATCACTGAGTCAGCTTCCTAGGTCAGGGACAGAGAACAGATGAGGGGAGTGAGTCAGATTAAGGCCAGAGGAGAGAGATCTGCTTCCCTGCCTCCTTAGAGGAGTTGGTCCCTCAGCCTTTCAGCAGGTCTTTGCCTAGGCAAAGAGGACAGTAAGTGGCACTATGGTTCTTCTCTTCCGGTGGGCTCTCCCTGTTTCCTTCCTTGTTTGACTTGGGAACTGTGGGAGCAGGCAGGTTAGCCTCTGCCAGTTCTAAGTCAGCTATTTGTCTCATGATCACATTCTGGCTCTGTTATTGTCTTTGCCCTCTTGCCCCCATTCCCAGATAATCCTGTCCTGGATTTGGTCTTTCTTGCTAAGTTGCTGAGGCTGGCTTTGAACTTGTCATCTTCCTGCCTCAGCCTCCTGAGCCCCTGGGATTACAGGTGTGCACCACCATGCCTAGCTCATTTAGATTTTTACACTACAGTTGCAGAGAATAGAATATTGTGTATTTAACAGAATGTTTGTTTATTTTTTCAAACAATGATTATTGATTGATTGATTGAAGTCCTCTGAGCTATATCTAGCCCTTTTTAAATTTTGAGACAGTCTCCTAAGTACTGAGACTGTTGAGATCATCCTGCCTCAGCCTCCTAATCACTGGGATTATAGGCCTGTGTCCCTTTCCTTTTAAGTATGTGCCTAGGCTGGCCTCAAAGTTGAGATCCCTCTGTCTCATATTCCTGAGTAGCTCCTGAGGTGCATCAGCTGGTTTAAAGCAGCTTTTTAAATGTCTTCTTTAATTTTTTTAAGTTTGATTTAAAAGATATGGGGGCTGGCAGTATAACTCAGTTGGTAGAGTGCCTGAATTAGGTAGTAATATTGTATGAATATATCTGATTTTGACAGTTCTCTTGTGATTATATAGGACAATATCCTTGTTTTTAGTTTTACACTCAGAAGTATTTAAATTTAAATGGAAAAAATTTAAATACACAGAAAAGAGAGACTAGTATAAGGATCCCTCTCTCTGAGCTTACAGTCATCTATTTTTTTTTAATTGTTTATTGACCTTTATTTATTTACTTATATGTGGTACTGAGGATCAAACCCAGTGCTTCATACGTGCTAGGCAAGCGCTTTACCACTGAGCTACAACCCCAGCCCCAGTCATCTAAATTTAACAATGATTACATTGTGCCACATTTGTTTCATATATATATATATTTTTTGTTATTGATAAAATATTTCAAAATGGAGCCGGGCATTTCACCTGTAAGTAATTATGCATCTCTAAAAATTAGGATATTTTCAATATCATCAGTTCTAGCAAGACTAATAAAAATTGCTAACTACTATCTCATCTTGGTCAACCCAAATTTATATTTCCCCATTTGTCCCATAAATATTTCTGCATATGTGTACATGTATGTGTGTGTTTTTAGGTGCTGGTGATAAACCCATTAGTTTTTGTCTTTTTATATGTGTGCATTTTATCTATCTATTTATTTATTAAAGTTATAGATGGACACAATACCTTTTATTTATTTATTTATTTTCATGTAATACTGAGGATTGAACCCAGTGCCTCATACTTGAGAGGCAAACACTCTGCCACTGAGCCACAATCCCAGCCCTTTACTTAGTTTTATATCCTACTTTTTTCCTACAATAAACTTTTTGTTTTAAAATAACTTTACATTTACACAGAAGTTGCAAAGATAGCATAGAGAATTTCCTCTAATGTTAACAACTTAGAGAGATTTGGTACTTTAGTCAAAACTAAGAGACTAATGTTAGCACATTATATTAACTAACTTCAGACTTTATTTCGATTTTGCCATTTTTCCCACTAAGTGTCTTTTTTCTTTTCCAGGATCCAATCCAGGATCCACGTTGCATTTAGTATATCCTTCTTTTTATATTATCAGTTTGTCACACTTTTTAAAGAATAGTCTTTGTGGAGACTGGAATCATGTCAGCTAAATGCACTGTTCTGGATTGAGTTTCTGATCAGAAGGGAAAAAAGTTCTAAAGGATGTTATTTGGACAATTGAAAAAGTTTGATTTAAAAGATATGGGGGCTGGCAGTATAGCTCAGTTGGTAGAATGCCTGAATTAGGTAGTAATATCGTATGAATATATCTGATTTTGACAATTCTCTTGTGATTATATAGGACAATATCCTTGTTTTTAGTTTGATACTCAGAAGTATTTAGGAGTAAAAGTAGGATGTCTGCAGCATATTCTCTGAAGGCTTAAAGTATGTGTGTTTGTGAATGGGAATGATACATAAATGGACACAACATTAGTTGATGAATATGGGCAAAGGTATTTGAGAGTTATTTTATAATTGCAGTTTATGTTTGAAATTATGTCAAAGTTATAAAAATAGTTCTATAGCTACCTTTTTTATGACTTAAAAATTTTTTTTTATTAGTTATTGATGGATCTTTATTCATTATTTGTTTATATGTGGTGTTGAGAATCGAACCCAGTGCCTCACATATGCTAGGCAAGCACTTGCCACTGAGCAACAACCCCAGCCCCTTTTTATGACTTTTTTAATACAAATTTTTGACACACAAATTGAAGACTAGTGTAATAAATGTGATTGTTCAAATTTGTTTTATCCACCTACCTCCTTCCATATATAAATTTTTTTTTTTCTGAACCATTTTGAAACTAAGATTTAGGCATTAGCCTGCTTACCCCTACATCTTCAGTATGTATCTTCTAAGAATATTTTCCTCTTCATAACCATAATTCCATCATAATATGTTTTTTTAAAAATGATGGTATTATCTAATATGCAGTCCATATTCAAAAAGTGTGTTTTTGAGATAAGGTTTTACTATGTTGCTGAGGCTAACCTCCAGCTGTTGGGCTCAAGCAATCCTCTTGTCTTGCCTTGGCCTCCTGTATAGCAGGGTCTACAGGCAGGTGTCACCAGGCCTGACTTGGTTATTAGTAGTCAGGTATAAAACCTTGAGATTTAGGTTATGTATTTTTGGTGAGTATACTTAATAGACTCATGTTATATGATATTCAGTTGTCAAAATATGTCATAAATTAGCAATTGTTTTTGAACATTGAGTTTGTTTCTGGTTTCTTTTGTTACTATTCTAAATAATGTTTTGAAGTTTAATTTTTACTTAAGTTTGTTTATTTTTTGGGGGTGGGGGTGGATTGAACCCAGGCCTTAGCACATGCTAGGCAATGCACTACTACTGAGCTACTCCCCTCTTTTTAAACTTTGAGATAGGGTCTTTAAGTTGCCCAGGCGTGCTTCAGACTTGCTACCCTCCTGCCTCAGCCTCTTGAGTAGCTGGGATTATAGGAGTGCACCATCACACCTGGGTTCCTTAGAGTTTTATTCTGCAGGTCAGTTCTTTAGATAATTATTGAGTTAAAGGTAGAACACATTTATAGTTGTCTCTTGATAGGTACAGCTAATTTTGATTAAGGCATAAAGCTACTCAGAAGTTTTTAAGTTCCTTCCAACATAGTTTTCCTTTTTTTAGGGGCTAAAAGAAGTGACCCTTCTTGGTCAGAATGTTAATAGTTTTCGGGACAATTCCGAGATTCAGTTCAACAGTGCAGTGTCTACCAACCTCAGCCGAGGCTTCACCACCAACTATAAAACCAAACAAGGGGGCCTTCGTTTTTCTCACCTTCTGGATCAGGTTTCCAGAGTAGATCCTGAAATGAGGATCCGTTTCACTTCTCCCCACCCCAAGGATTTTCCTGATGAGGTGAGTGTCATCAGTCAGTCGTGGCAAATTATGTCAATATCCTGAAGCATACCAGAAGGCTGGACCCACTAGGGATGTTAGCAGATACCTTGAGTCCTGCTTGGGGGACCTTGTGGTGTATCAGTATGTCACCCTCTGGATCTAATGCCTCTTTGGAAAAGTTTAATATCCAACAAAGTTGAGATGGAGATAGGACTGATATTGAAGAGGAGGTGAAGACCCCCTGTGGGATAGCAAAGGCTGAGCAGAGTGTTTTATCACAAGGTGGGCAGCTGCATGGCAGTGATGGTGGCGCTGGTAGCATTAGCATGGGGAAGATAGGAAGTGGGTAATGTGATGTGGTGGCAGATAGCCCAGGCTTTTGCTTTAGACAGACCTGGGTTCAAATCCCTGCTCTTCCACTGCTTTACCAGTAGGAGTGTAAAGATACATTTTAACTCCTCAACCTCCTCTGTAAAGTGGGAATAATAGTTACTTCTTACTTTGAGTGGGTTGTGACAAGATAAAAACTTCAGATTTAGCTGGGTGCTAGGCATTGCATAGGTAGCCCACATGTAGAACCTTTCTTCTGATGTTTTTGGTTTTGGTGAAACGTCTGTCTTTTGGCCCCACTCCTGCCTTTTCCCTCCTGCATTGTCTTCTTATTGAATTGTTTAAGTTCTTAATGTGTGTTGTTGTTGTTGTTGTTTGTTTGTTTGTTTTTTAGTACCAGAGATTGAAACTAGGACCTTGCATATGCTAGACAAGCATTCTACCTCTGAGCTACATCCCCACCCTTTTAATTCATTTTGAGATAGGTTCTAAGTTGTACAGGCTGGCTTTGAACTTGTGATCCCCTTTCCTCAGCTTCCTGATTATAGGTGTGTGCCACTGTGTTGGCCTTCATGTATCTTTTTTTTTTTTTTTTTTTTTTAAGTACTAGGGATTGAACTGGGGAGCTTTGTCCCTGAGCTACATCCCAGCCCCTTTTTATTTTGAGGTGAGGTCTTACTAAATTGCTGAGGTTGGCCTCAAACATGTGATTCTCCTATCTTGGCCTCCTGCATTGCTGGAATTACATATTTGTGCTGTCACACCCAGCTTCATGTATTTTTTGATACAGATCCTTAGTCAACATGTTTTTCAGATATTTTCTTCTAGTTTTAATTCAATAGTTTTATGACTATGCCCCAAAGATATAGATTTAAGTTTATTTAGGAAAATAAATACAAATTTAAGGGAAAATGGGGGAGGGGCAGAAAGGGGGCAGGCCGTTGTGGGTAAAGTAAGGAATATGCGTTTTGTGCAGGCCATCTCCAGAGGGAGAAACAGTCTTGTGGTGTTTCTTGAGGTGGTTAATTAGTTTGTGAGATAGATGGAAAAAATTGCTATTTTTTCCTTCCTGGCCGCTGACCCTTGTATCAGTCCTACCTGATAAACTCCCTGGCTTGAATCTCATCTCTCCTTCCTTTCTTCTTCCCACTCTTTGAAATATCTGGGGGAGAGAGAAGATGGCTTGAATAAAAGTTAGGAGTTTGGGTAATTTGTGTTTGATTTAATCAACCTTTTAATTACTTGAAAATAAACCCTAGAGGAGAAACAGAGTGGTATTATTTTCTGCAATGTGCTGTGGTGAGATTTGGGGGCTCACAGTGTGTTCTGTTTAATCAGGTTCTACAGCTGATTCACGAAAGAGGCAACATCTGTAAGCAGATCCACCTGCCTGCCCAGAGTGGAAGCAGTCGTGTGCTGGATGCCATGCGGAGGGGGTCAGACTTACTTGGGCAGGGGACATCCTGTACCTTTCCATTTTTCTTTAATGACCAACAATATTAACACCTATCACTAGATGTTGTTAGGAACCTAGCATGGTTTATGGCACATAGTAGGTACTCATAAAATCATTATTGTGTGGGTAGTGCCTGTGGACATTGGGACTTGATGTTCTTTATAAGCAGAATAAGAATTGAATCATTCATTTCATTTGTTTAGCATTTTTAAAAAAAATTTTATTAGTTTTGATGGACCTTTATTTATTTATTTGTTTATATGTGGTGCTGAGGATTGAACCCAGTGCCTCACACTTGCTAGGCAAGAGCTCTGCCACTGAGCCACAACCCCAGCCCTAGCATATTTTTTATTGAGCACCTACCATATGATGTACTGAGTAATCATTTTATTTTTTCAGGACTGGGGATTGAACCCAGGGCCTTGTAATCCTAGGCAAGTGCTCTACATCCCAAACTGGTTAATTTTAAGATAGGGTCTTGCTAATAAGTTGCCCAGGCTGACCTCAAACTAATGATCCTCTGCAGCCTCTTGGGTAGCTGGAATTATAGGTGTGCACTCCACATCTGACTGACTTTGAGGCTTTGGTCCTTTAACTTTTGAGAATAATGAAATCTTTTAGGTCTTGCAATTTAAATGTAGCTCTGTTCACTTACTTTGGGAATAATAAGTATCACGGAGGTAAGATTGAGGGGTGAATGGAACCCAAGGCTAATTGCATAGAGCCAGTACCTTGCCGTGTTTTCCACAGTGGCAGAGAGCTTTTGAAAGCCTCTTAAATGTTTAGTGTGTCTTGATTTGTTAAGTAAAAAGCCTATTTAAAATAAAAATTCATAGTCTAAATTAAATCAAGTTTGATCAAAAGGGCTGTTTAACCTACTACTACTGTGCCATGCTTTGTGAATTAGAAGTGATTTATAGTATTATCTTTAAAAAATTTTTTTAGTTGTAGATGGACACAATATCTATCTACCTATCTTTCTTCCTTTTCTTTTTTCTTTTCTTTCGTCACTGAGGGTCGAACCTAGTGCCTCATATGTGCAAGGCAAGTGCTCTACCACTGAGTTACAACCCAGCCCTACTGTTATCTTTTTATAGCATTAATTTAAAAAAGATTAGTGGGCTGGGGGTGTAGCTCAGTGATAGACCATTTGCCTAGAGTGTGCAAGGCCCTGGATTTAGTCCTCAGAAATGGAAAACAAAAAGATTGGTTCATCTAGGTCTTTCTTTTTGTTCTTTATTACAGATATTCAAGAGAAGCTTATGTGGAGTTAGTTCACCATATCAGAGAGTCTATCCCAGGTATGTTTAAAAAACTGAGCATATTAATCTGTTGTAGTTCATAGCCATCTTAGTCAGATACAGGCCACAACAATCCCTGTGACACCATATTATACTTCTCTTGCTCCTCTTGATTTTACCCCCTTCCCTCTTTTTTGTGCATCTTTCTATTTTTTGATTTCTTGGTCCTTCTAGCAATATTCAGAGGTCTAGAATCAGCTTGTGGTCTCAAGGCTAAAGAGATTATTTTTCCTTGGTGATGTTGGGATCGAACCTAAGGTCTTATGCATGCTAGGCGTGCACTCTACCCCTGAGCTACATTCTTAGGCCTGAGAGAGATTTCTATAGTCTTTGTGTTTGTTTCCGAATATGTGGAAAAGATCTTTGCCCGCCCTTCCTTCCTTCCTTCTTTCTTTCTTTCTTTCTATACTGTTGAATGAACTAAGGATTCTCTACCACTGAGCTATATCTCCAGGTCTTTTTTTTTTTTCTTCTTAATTTTGACATAGGGTCTCACAAAGTTGCTTAGGGCCTTGATAAGTTGCTGGGCCGGCCTTGAACTTGCAATCCTCCTGCCTCAGCTTTCCGAGTCATTGGGATTCCAGGTGTGTGCCACTGTTCACACTGCACTGTTGCTACTGTTTTAAATGAACATGTGTTAAACTAAATTTAAAAGGATATGTTTTGTCCCATAAATAGGTACAATTATCATGTGTTTATTTTAAAAAATAGAAGAATATTTTTGTATGAGGTGCTTCAAGATTTTCACTCATAAAAGCAGGACCAATTTGAAAATGCATACTCCTAGTGTATTTCCGAATCTGTCATTTGAACTAAAACTACCTTTTCTAGTGCCGGGAGATGCAGGCTGAGAAGGTAGCTCTGGCATTGATCATGGTGGAGAAGCAGGTCCATCCCCCTTGCTCTGATGGTGTTTCTGTTTTACTTTGGTGTGGCCTGAGTATCCTAGAACGCCTTACACTTACCCTCCCTCTCTCTCTAATCCATAATGCCAAAGGCTCCTCTTGAAGGTAAGCAGCACCATCCTCTTGCCCTTTTTCCATTGTTGTGTATCACAGGTGTGAGCCTCAGCAGCGATTTCATTGCTGGCTTTTGCGGGGAGACAGAGGAAGACCATCTGCAGACAGTGTCTTTGCTTCGGGAAGTTCAGTACAACATGGGTTTCCTCTTTGCCTACAGCATGAGACAGGTGAGCCCTAGGATGGGGAAGAGCTGACCAGCTTGGGGCTGATTTATAGACACCTGGGCCGAAAAGAGGGGCAGGAAGGCATTCCTTGCAAAACCACAGGATCTTACTCTTCTTTTGTATTTTTCAGGTTACCTCTTATCTACTCTTTGACACAATTCAGCAATTTGAGATGAAAAAAGATTACTGTGCCAATGTTCCTGTTTATTAAAATATTTTAAATGATATTTAGGTTGTTTAACAGTTTAATTTGGAAGGAAAGAGACTTATTCTGATAAGAAACCTAAAAGATTTCTCAACATGACTTCTTTTCTGGTCTATGAATGTTTATTTTACAGAAACCTCTTGTTATCTTACCAGCCACCCTTAACTATTTTTAATTGCTATTTTTCTTGGGGTTTCCCCTGTAACATAAATTCCCAGGAAAATAAAGCAGATTAGAAAGGAAAGGAAGAATAATGAATATTTTCTTCAGAGAAAGATAATTCTGGTCTGCCATTTTCTTGGTGGTGGGAATTATTTGCATGGGTCACTCACCATCCCCCAGTCACCTTGAACCAGCATGCCTGGGATGGAGACTGAGGGTGCCCTGTGATCATGGAGCTCAGGAAAGCTGACTGATGAATGAACCTCAAGCTCATTAATTTGTTTTAAATCCCACTGCCTAATGTTCTTTAGGCAGTGTAAGTGGGCCAGTGTATTTTCATGTCTTTTGCAGAATTACTTCAAAGAGACAAAGCTTCAGAGGAGCTTTTAGATTCTGTTTTGCTTCTTTTCCATGGACATCACAAATTCTTTTTTTTTGGTAGTTGTAGATGGACAGAATGCCTTTTTTTATTTGTTTTTTTATTTTTATATGGTGCTAAGAATCGAAGCCAGTGCCTCACGCATGCTAGGCGAGTGCTCTGCCACTGAGCTCAGCCACTCCTTTTTTTTCTTTTTTGGTTATCAGGGATTGAACCCAGGGGAGCATTACCACGGAGCCACATCGCCAGCTGTTTAGCCTTTTTATATTTTATTTAGAGACAAGGTCTCAGTAAGATGGTAGGGCCTTGCTAAATCGCTGAGGCTGGCCTTGATCCTCCTGCCTGGTATTACAAGTGTGAACCACCACACCTGGCACAAGTTGTTATAGAATATCTATAGAGAAAGATACCCTGTGGGCATTGAATATGAGTGTTCATTTTGGGCCCCAATTCCTAGTTAGTGTTAGGATTATAGAAGACTTGAATCAAGTAACCTAGTAGATGAAGACAGGTACTCAAATTGTGCCTTTGCCATTTAATAACTATGTGACATTGGGCAAGGTTCTTGGTTTTCTCATTGGTGAAATGAGGATAACATTAGCTCCAACTTAATAGGGTTGTTTTGAGTAGTCAGTAAGAACATGTATTACTTAAGTAGTATTCTGTACACAGTAAGTGCATGATAAGGGTAAGTTATTGCTAACAAGACAGAATGGAATAAGACCCAAGTATTTTAGGCTCTGTTTTCCTCTTTGGATTTTCTTATTCTTTCAAAGGGAGATTGGTTTGAATGTTCACATGGTAGAGTGTAGATTTTTCTTTTTATTCCATAGTTTTGTCTAACTCGTTGTTTCTCCAACTGTTTTGAACATGATCGTAGGTACATTAAGAAATATATTTGAACATTTGCACACACTTTGGTTTTGGATGTTTAAAGACTTTTCAAGTATAATTCATTTTGTTGACTAGGTAATACATGCTTATGGTGTAAAATTCCAAAGGTTAAAATGACATAAAGTGAGAAGTAGTTCTTCCTTCTTCTCAGGTTGCCTAGTTTTTCAGTTCCTTCCTTGGAGGCAATCACTTTTAGTAATTTCTTCTATAACCTTCCAGTGTATTTCATGTATTTATAAACACATTTATATGTATTTATTCTACACCAAAGGTCTACATGTTAATCTGTATATATTTCATTTAATAACATTTTGAAGACTTGTTTATTTAGTACATATTGAGCTATTATTCTTATACAGCTGTATAATACTTCATTGGGTAGATAAATTATAATTTGTTTTACTAGTTGCCTATCTATAAGCATTTAGGCTGCTTTGCACCTTTTGTCTTTATAAACAGTGCTGATGAATAACCTAATACATGAATTATTTAGTATAACCCTTTGTGATAAACATCAAGAGTAATTTTGAGTCTATGATTTTTTTTTTTTAAACTTAACCCAAGAATCTTTATTTATTTATTTATTTTGTGGTGCTAGGGATTGAACCCATGGTCTTGTGCATGGGAAGCAAGCACTTTACCAACTGAGCTATATCCCCAGCCCCGTGTCTATGATTTTTTATATGCTAAATTTAGAATTTGACCCTTGCAAAAATGCACTTCCACTTCAGAGAGAATCTTTTTCTCTTGGAATGTTCCCAGATCCAGAGAAATCTCTCAGTTCCTTAATGTGTTTCTGTGCATGTGTCTGTAACTTGCAGGTAGATTGAACATATTTTCTCCATACACTACAAATAGATTCTATGTCTTTACTGACCTCCATCTTCTCTTTTTTGTAGAAGACACGGGCTTATCATAGGCTGAAGGATGACGTCCCAGAAGAAGTAAAATTAAGGCGTTTGGAGGAACTTATCACTGTTTTCCGAGAAGAAGCTTCAAAAGCCAATGGGACCTGTGTAGGCGGTACCCAGCTGGTACTGGTAGAAGGGGTGAGGCCATATGTATATGTATATATTTTATTTTTATTTTTATGGTACTGGGGATTGAAGCCAGGGCTTATCACATGCTAGGCAAGCAGTCTGCCACTGAGCTATACTCAGTACCTATTTATTTTGAGACAGGGTCTTGCTAAGTTTCCCATGCTAACCTTGAACTTGTTGATTTTCTGCCTCAGCCTCCTAGAATTTCAGGCATTTACCACCAAGCCTGACATATTATTTTTTAGAACGCAGTATATTTCTCCTTTATTCATATATTTTTTGATGTTTTTAGTTAAAGTTTTTTTGTAGTTTTCAGTATATAAGCCCTGTACATGTTTTATAACGTCTACACGTATTTCATTTAAATTATATATATATATATATTTTTTAATATTTATATATATTTTTAATACACAAGAGAGTCTGTCAGAGCTGACAAATCAAGGCACATCCCTCCATAATGGAGAGAGGCTCATTTAAAATCTTTTTGGAGCTATTGTAAATGGTATTTTGTTTTCAGTTTTGGTATCTGTTCATTGCTATTTCATAGAAATTGAATTTTTTATGTTTATCTTATAGTCTATTAACCTTCCTGAATTTAGTGGTTCTAGCAGGATTTTTTCCCCCCTCTTTGTAGATTCTTTGGGATTTTCTTGTTTACAAACATGTCATCATGTTTTTTCTTCCTTCTTGATGTACCAAAGTTCCCTCTTTTGTTGTTCCCTTTCTATTTATTGGAGGAACTTATCACTGTTTTCCGAGAAAAAAAACATTTAGAGAACCTCCCTTTAGCCAAATTCTCTTGGTTTCCTTCACCTTGGAGGGCCTTCACTTCTGTCTCACTCCTGAAGGGTGTTTTTGCTGGATGCTGGGTTCTGGTTTGGTAGTACTTTTCTTTTAGCTCTTGAAAACTGTGCTACTTCCTTCTAGCCTCCATTGTTTCTGATGGGAAATTGCAGGATTTTCCCCTTGTAAGGGAAGACATTTTTCATTCACTGCCTTTAAGAATTTTGTTTGTTTTGGTGCTAATGATTAAATGATATTCAGTTTTAAGTGTCTGGATTTTGCACTAGGGTTTGTTCAGCCAGGAAGTTAACTTGTTTGCAATTCAGTTAGATCCTTTCAAGGCTTAGTTTTTCTGTTCCTTTTTTTTTTTTTGTTGACATTTTTTAGTTGTAGAGGGATACACAGTATCTTTGTTTATTAATTTATTTTTTATTTGGTGCTGAGGATGGGACCAGTGCCTCACACACGCTAGGCAAGCACTCTTCACTGAGCTCCAGCCCAGCCTGTGTGGTTTTCTTTTCTTTCTTTTTTTTTTTTTTTTTTGCAGTGCAGGGAATGAAACCCATGCCTTATGCATGGTAGGCAAGTGCTCTACCACTGAGCTATACCCCAGCTCTCAAAGCTGTTTTTAATTGTGTTAGAAGCACTTTTTTGTTTTGGGGATAGTTCAGCATTACGACTAAGATATAGCCTCAGTTGGGTGTGGTGGTGCACACCTGTAGTTCCAGCTACCCAGGAGGCTAGGGCTGGAGGGTTTGAGCGTAGCCTGGGCAACACAGATCCTGTCTCAAAAAACAGACTCACCCTTTCAGGAATTGAATGTTCCAGGGAACCAGTGAAGACTATTTGTTGGCAGATCAAGTGATTTTCAGCCCTGTTTCAGCTATGGGAATGGTTCAGCTGACAGTTTCCAGGTTGCTCTCTTTGGCTAATTTCATGGAGTTTGACTCTGTACTTGAGTTTTCAGCAGAGACTCGTGGGAATTCCATGAATATTTCTAAAGTTTTTTTTTTCTAGAGTTTTTTTTTTTTTTTTCCTACTTACCTCCCTTCTCTCTACAGTTTGCTACAAATTTTTTAGCTTTCTCAGGATGTTTGAACCTGATCCTTTTCTTTCTCTATTTTTTTTTCTTTCCATACTGGGAATTGAACCCACGGCCTTGGACATATTAGGCAAGCACTCTATCAACTGAGATATATCCCCAGCTCCCAGGCCTTTTTTTTTTTTTTTAATATTTTTTTTTTTAGTTGTAGATGGACACAATATCTTTATCTTTTTTTTTTTAATTAATTAATTTATTTATTTTTAGTTTTCGGCGGACACAACATCTTTGTTTGTATGTGGTGCTGAGGATCGAACCTGGGCCGCACGCTTGCCAGGCGAGTGCGCTACTGCTTGAACCACATCCCCAGCCCTCTTTATCTTCATTTATTTATTTTTATGTGGTGCTGAGGATCGAACCCAGAGGGCCTCATGCATGCAAGGCAGACGCTCTACCATTGAACTACAACCCCAGCCCCATCCCAGGCCTTTTTAATATTTTATTTAGAGGCAGGGTCTCGTTCAGTTACTTAGGGCCTCGCTAAGTGGCTAAGGCTGGCTTGGAACTAGCAATCCTCCTGCCTCAGCCTCCTGAGCTGCTGGGATTACAGGTATGTACCACTGTGCCTGGCAATTTCTGTCACTTAAAATGGGTGGAAGAGAAAGACTTCGGCATTTTTAAGAAATTAATCCCATCATAGTGGTTCACTTTTCCTTTAGCCTCATGTTGTGTTGGAGACTGTCATTTTGAATCTGCCTGTTCAATAGGGGCAGGTAATCCAGGCCAAACAATCCCAGAACACTCTGATTACTATGAGACTGTGTAACATGAATGTTGATTTGCCAAGTGCATCACCATAAATACCTGGGCTTTAGGCTTGTTAGAAGTTCATTTCTTCAGAAAACAATTCTGCCTAGACTCATTGATTGAAAGATTCATTAAAATGCAGTTATCAATGGAGTGTGGTGGCAGGCCCATCCCAGCTACTTCAGAAACTGAGGCAGAAGGATCACAGTTTTTTTTTTTCTTAAAATATTTATTTGGGGGCTGGGGTTGTGGCTCAGTGGCAGAGTGCTTGCCTAGCATGTGTGAGGCACTGGGTTCTGTTCTCAGCACCACATACAAATAAATGAACAAAATAAAGGTCCATCAACATCTAAAAAATTAAAAAAATATATATTTTTTTGATTGTAGATGAAACAATATTTTTATTTTATTTTTTAATTTTTTTATGTGGTGCTAAGCATTGAACCCAGTGCCTTACACATGTGAGGCAAGTGCTCAACCACTGAGCTCCAACCCCTGCCCTGAGGATCACAAGTTTGAGGCCAGCCTGAGTAACTTAGTGAGACTCTGTCTCAAAATAAAAATGAAAAGGTCTGAGGATGTAGCTCAGTGTAGAGTGCCCCTGGATTCAATCCCAGTATTGCTAAAACAAACAAACAAACAAAACATTATAGTTTCTTCTTTGTGCTGTGTACCATCCTGGGTTAGTACCGTGAATACTGAGCTTTCTGTGGTCTTGAAGGCTTGAGACAGAGAAGGCACAGTTTCTGCCCTCCTAGAATTGAGAATTGTCACAGATTCATAACCTTTTCTTTCTCTAGCCCAGCAAACGCTCTGCCACTGACCTGTGTGGCCGGAATGATGGAAATCTTAAAGTGATCTTTCCTGATGCAGAGATGGAGGATGCTGCTAACCCTGGGCTCAGGGTCAGAGCACAGCCTGGGGACTATGTGCTAGTGAAGGTAAGGTATTCTTTGGACTTTTGGCTTGAAATGAATATTAGTTTGGATAATTCAGTGGAATAAATTATTTTCCTAGAGAAATTCTTTAATAAAATAAAAATCTCTTCTCAACCAGTACAATGAAAGGGTACCTTGGATTAAATTTTTGACTACTTATAATTAATACCTTCTTGTTTTTCTGATCTTTTCTCCTGACGAGCTCTTGGGTATATAGTAGCATGCAATTTCCTGCTGCAAGAGAGGCCAGGAAGTGCAGGTGATTTTAAGTGAGTGGAGAGTACCCTCTGCCAGAGGCTGGCATGCCTTTGGGATTCTCGGATATCCAGGCATCCTTGACTCATAGGTGCTCCCATTTCCTGCGTCCCTTCCCTGCACTAGCAGATGGAGCTGTATGATGGAGGGACTTCCTTCTTCCTCTTTCGTCCTTTCACTGGGGATATTTCTCCTTTCCTCTCTCCTTCCTCTTCCTCTTCTCTCACTGCTACAGGTCTACTAGTTTCTTTTTGGTTCTCACATCTGCTTTACCCCATAGCCAGAAATTGGCAGGATGAGCTGGGCAGGAACAAAGATGCTTTTCTAACACTGAGGGAGGAAAGGAGTGAGGTGGTTCTGTTTCTGCTGGTACTGCTCAGTGCCTTGTCTCTTCCCTACACCATAGTGCCTCAGCTTCTGTTCTGCTTTGTGTCCTTGCTCTTGTTATCTGTCTTGACTGATAGGGGAGATGCAGCCCATGGCTTGCATCTGAGGGAGGCGCATTTCCCTGGCATGCAACTTCTGTGGGTTGGCCTGGAAATTTTACTGCTATTCAAAACTTTTCTGTTTCTATGGGAACTCTGTCCCCCCTAGTTCTGTCCATTTGACAAAAACTGAGAACAGGATCAGCATGCTGGTTGGGGATTTTCTTCCTGTCTTTTGTCCTTGCCCTGACTGGGAATTATCTTTCTTAAATGTTACCTAGGAATTTCTTAAGGGCAGTGATTCCCACTAGTTAGCAATGCAATTGATATGGAAGTATCCCTCATAGGCTTCTCCTTTTTTTTTCCTTTTAAAATTTCTGAAAATTGCTAGGAGTGGTGGTACATACCTGTAATCCCAGTGACTCTAGGGGCTGATACTGGAGGTTGCAAATTCAAAGCCAGCCTCAGCAATTTATCGAGGCCCTAAGCAACTTAGTGAGACCCTGTCTCAAATTTAAAAAATTAAAAAGGGCTAGGGATATGGCTCAGTGGTTAACTACCCCTGGGTTTAATCCCTGATATAGAAAAAATTTTTTCTGTATCTAATTTTCTTGTCTTTTTTTGAGGGTTTGCTTCTTTGACTTTTAGTTGCTTTGCCAAACCACATTTTTTTTAAAGATTTATTTTTTAGTTGTAGTTGGACAGAATACCTTTATTTTATTTATTTATTTTATGTGGTGCTGAGGATTGAACCCAGGGCCCCACATGTGCTAGGCAAGTGCTCCACTGCTGAGCCACAACCCCAGCCCCAAACCACATTTTTTTCTGTTGTAATTATGGGTCACTTGACAAAAAGGGATTAGGTTGGTGGGCTGGTTGTAGCATTAATATTTTTTTCAAAATGAAAGAGTTTAATTTGGCAAGAACGTGAAATTGAACTCAACTTTTTCTTTTTTTTCTTTTTTTTAAGTACTGGGGATTGAACCTAGGGCCTCACACATGCTATGTAAGAAGAGCTCTATCACTGAGCTGTACCTCTAGCCCTAAATATTTTGTTCCAAGTGACATAAATCCCACAAGTACGATTTAGAGGGATGATTGAAATGAAGAAGGAGCTGTAGAACAGGGTTGATTCTTTGTTCCTCTTTTCTGCTGTTGGCATGTTCTGTCCACTCTAGGCTTCCTAGAACACTCTCATAAATTTCATGCATTTGCCTGCTCGCAGCCTTGGTAGAACTGGTTGTGTGTTTACTCTGCATCTGCATCTAATGCAACACTGATGGGGAAGAAACACACAGTTTGATGGTAGATTAGGGTACATGGTGGCCACAGAGAGCTCCAAATACAGTGGCTTAACTAAGGTAGGAATTCTCTTCCTCCTAAGAATCTAGATATGGAGTGTCGAGGACTGGTGATTGTGATGGCTGTGTGGGCAGGGCTCCAGGGTCCAGGGCCCAGACTTCTGTTTTTTGTTCTGCCTGTGCCTTCACTCCCAAGGTCCCCTCATTCAGAAGGCTCTAGTCATCATGTTCATATTCAGCAGTAACTGAGAAGGAGGAGAAGGGCATGCTCTCCTCCTTTCAGGATGCTTTGTAGAAGTTCCCTATATCACTTCTGCCCTAGTAACATATCACACCCGGCCGCAAGAAAACTGAGAAGTTGGATCTTCATTCTGAATGACCATGTGCCCAGCAAAGGATTGACAATTCAGTTACTAAGGAGGAAGAGAAAAGATGTTGGGGTGTAGGTAGTAGTCTTTGGTGCATGAATTGACTGCACTTTTTAAAATTCATGACCATAAAAATCAAATGAACCTCAGCATGGCCCTGAAATCCTGATCCCACTGTGTTTTCCTTGTAAATTGATTTCCCCACTCTCTTTCTTAAAACTTCACTCTCCTGTGCAATCCTTTGTGTTTTGCTGATGTCTTTGCCTCATATTTTAGAGAAAATATGTACAATTAGACAAAACGTCATTGTCTGTTTTCTGCAGCCTGTCACTTGTCTACCTTCCTTGGACCATAGGTTTTGTCTGCATACTCTGCTGTCCGTGCTGCCCCTTGGGCTTTACGTCCAGCCCTTCCCATTCTCAAGAGATTGGCATTTATCTCCTCCATCTCTTGCATCTTAATGTGGCTAAAATGGAATTACTCTCTCCCACTTTTCAAGCCTTCCCCATTTCAGAGAGTGGCACCACTCAGCCGCTCAAGCCCCCAGCAGGCGCTCTCCTGCATTCCCCTTTGCAGCCAGTCTGCGTTGGCCTCACCTCCGGAGTACGCCTGGGACCCGGCCACTTCATCCTCTCTCCAAGCAGCTTCCCTGGTCTTTTGCTTCCATATTTAAAAAATGAATCATAACTGAAATACACCACAAGTGTAGACAGTTGCCCACATTATAAGTGAAATTATATGATGAATTATAGTGGCACTACCCATGTAAGTGTCACCCAGATTAAAAAGAAGTATTTTCAGAACCCCAGAATCCTCTTTCATGTTCCTCCCAGTCACTCCCCTTCTCTACATTTTAAAATTAACTGCTTTCCTGATTTCCATACCATAGTTTAGTTTTGGCTGGGTTTGATTGTCATCAAAACGAATCACACAGTATATAGTTTTGGTGTCTCCCTTCTGTCCTTCAAATTGCGTTCTGTGAATCAACCGTGATTATATTTTTTCATCACCACAATTTATATGGGTATTGTACTATTGGTGGCCGTTTGGTTGTTTCCAGTTTGGAGCAATTTCACATAATATTGCTCTGAATATTCCTGTACATGTGTTTTGGTGCACATGTATATTTGCTTCTGTTGGATATCTGAGTTGGAATTGCTGGGTCATAGGGTATGTATGATAGAAATAGCCAAAGTGATTGTGTCATTTTATAGTCCTGCCAGCAGTGCTTGAGAATTCTAGAAGCTTCTTCCCTGCTTCCACTCTTGCCCTTCTCTAGCCTGTTTACCCCACAGCAGTCAGTGTTATCCATCTAAGTCAGATCACTCTCCTCAGAGTTAGCCTCCAGTGGCTCCTCATTGCAGCCAGCGTGACATGCAGAGTGGCCAAGGCCTTTTGGGAGGGAGCCCAGCTACCTTCCAATTTCATATCTGCTTTTTATTCTGTCCTTCAGCCTTGTGGTCTCCTTTGTTGGCCCTCAGCCTGGTTTTATTCTCAGGGACTTTGCACATGCTGTCCATGCTTGGGCTCAGATCTTTTAATTTTCCAGTTCTCTCTCAAATGTCACCTTCTCAAGCTGGGGCTGGGGCTCAGTGGTAGAGCGTTCGCCTAGCATGTGTGAGGTGCTGGGTTCCATCCTTAGCACTGCATAAAGATGAATAAATAAAGATATCATGTCCAACTACAACTAAAAATAAAAATAAAAATAAAAAGTCACCTTCTCAGGCCTTCCCTGGACATTGTCTTTTTGAAGCAGCTTTCCCTTGCCTTACTTTCTTTCCTACTTAACCCGTTATATCTTTGAAGCATTTTCCAATATTTGAAATCGTCTTTGTTTACGTACTTACTACCTGTTTTATCCTGAAAGGTCCGTTGAGGGCAGGGAAATACTGTTTTACTACTTCTGTGTCTGCAACATCTAGGGAAATTCCTAGTACAGAATAAGTACTCCATGAATACTTACTAATGTACCAACTTGATCTGGTCAGAAATGGGACTGTTGGTAATGTTGGGGTCACAGCCTTTCAGCTCTCAGAGGAAAAAGAGAAACTTTCTTACCAAATTTGTCAATAAATACCCTATGGAAGGATTTAACTAGCTCAGATAGGAGCACATCTCACCCTGTGACTAGAAGGGCAGTCCTCATGGGCAGTTCCTGTGAACCTCATGGTTGGAGCTGGGGAGGAGCTGTCTCCCAAAAGACAAGGAGGACGTGACCATGGGGGATGGGCCTGTGTTTGAGATCATGTGCTGCCATTCCATCAGCGAGCGCTTCCTCCCAGGTTTCAGGCACGCAAGAACCGTGCAGTCTCTGCCATCCTGTCGCTGCCATCAGATTCCTTTTGGTGGCCTCTGGATGAGGAGAGCATTAAGTGCCTGTGGTGCAGTCCTGGTTATCTTGCCATCTTCCCACTGGTTTTCTTTCAGATCACCTCTGCCAGCTCTCAGACACTTAAAGGACATGTCCTCTGTAGGACCACTCTGAAGGACTCCTTGGCACATTG